AATTTAAATGCATTCTTCCTTTGATCCTTATGGCTTCCCCCCCTTGTTTTAATTCTTTAGACTACCCATCTCCTTCTACCTTAATTAATGTTGTATATTTACTGATAGTGAAATACACTGTTTTAACAGTATCAAGAAGACCATTCGGTTATAACCTTCCATTATTTCATGGCTAACTGAACACAGGCTTAATCACATTGCACTAGACAAGGGCATATGTCCAGGTAAACATGTGACTTAAACACAGATATTTTCATATTCTAGATTGCTCGTGATGTGGATGGCTCCGGAAACTACCTGATGCTGGCACACAAGCAAGTAGCTCAGCTCCACCCTTTGTCAATCTATTACAACAGCGGCAGGATCCCAGAGTGGGTTGTATTCCATGAATTTAGTATTGCTGAAAACAATTCTATAAAAATCATCTCCGCAATATCACCTGACCTGTGAGTAAAAGTGAACAGGGATTTATTTTTCTATTGTAGAACTGTAGTTTAAAAACAAAATTTAACATGAACATCCCCTTTTTAAATCTGTTGAAATACATGTGAGTTGCAGGAGAACCCCCTGTGTAAAAACTGTTGAAATACATGTGAGTTGCAGGAGACTGTTGAAAACAGAAACTGTTGTACATCTGTTATTGATTTTAATGATGGTATCATAGAATTATAGTACTGAAAAGTGAGGGCCTGTGATACTCGTGGGGGGATTCCGTTTCCCCCACTTTCTCACTTGGCCCAGTGCAGCCCCCAGGCTCCCCTGCAGCCGCTGGGCCCACAGTGCTCCCCACCTCAGTGGGTCATCCAGAGCTTCTCCAGGCGGGCTCGCTAAGGCTTCTTTCCTCCCTCCCCACTCTCAGCGGCTCATCTGGAGCTACTTCAGGCAGGTCCCCCAAGGCTTGCTCCCCTCCCTGTGGCATTGTCTGGGAGGCGCTCAAGTGTGGGCCCATGATACTCGCAGGGGGATTCCCTCCACCCCTTTGTGCTGGGCCCAGCGCAACTCCAGGGCTTTGCCAGGCTGTGCAGTCACTGCTATTGGGCCCAACAGGCTTCCTAGGCTGCTCAGCCACCACTGGGCCCAGTGCGATGCACAGGGCATACTGCTGCTGGCAGCATGCCCTGTGAGTCTCCTGGGCTGTGTGGCCACCGCTGGGCCCAATGGGGCTTCCCTGCCTGCAAACACTGGGGGTAAGTGCATTTTCTGCACTTGCGCAGATAACCCTACTTTAATTTTGGGGGAATTCCCCCATAGTTTTACAAACATTTAATTTGTTGATGTTGTTCAGTCGCACAGTTGAGTCCGACTCTTCGCGACCCCATGGACCAGATCACGCCAGGCCTTTCGGTCTTCCGCCGTCCTCTGAAGTTTGCTCAACTTCATGTTCATTGCATCTATGACACTGTCTAACCATCTCATCCTTTGCCATCCCCATCTTCTTTAACCTTCAGTCTTTCCCAGCATCAGGGTCTTCTCCAGTGAGTGCTCCCTTCTCATTTGGTGGCCAAAGTATTTGAGCTTCAGTTTCATCATCTGGCCTTCCAGGGAACAGTCAGGGTTGATTTCTTTTAGGATTGACTGATTTGATCTTCTTGCAGTCCAAGGGACTCTCAAGAGTCTTCTCCAGCACCATAGTTCAAAAGAATCTATTCTTCGGCACTCGGCCTTCCTTATAGTCCAACTCTCGCAGCCATACATGACTACTGAAAGACTATTGAAAGAGGTAGTCAATCTTTAAAGGTACAATTGTGGTCTTAGGGTACTGTCTCAGTGATGATCTGGTTCTTATAGATCCACATGGGTCAATGCAGGGGTAATTCATGAGGACAACCAGATGGATTTCACCTAGAGAACTGGTGTTGAGTAGTGATGGGCATGAACTGGGAAAATGTGGTATGGTTCATGGTATGCCAGCTTCATGAACCATGAAACATCACAAATAAACCAGTTTCATTTGTGAGGTTTGTGTTCTCCCCAGTAGGGACCCCAGTAGCTTATTTTTGTTATATTTATTATTAATTTACTTAATTCATTTATACCCTACTTTTCTCCTCAATGGGGGCCCAAAGTAGCTTACATCATTTTCCTTCCCCCATTTTATTCTCACAGAAATCCTGTGAGATAGGTTAGGCTGAGAGAGTGTAACAGACCCAAGGTCACCCAGCAAGCTTCTATGACCTGAGTGGGGATTTGAACCTGTGTATTCCAGATTTTAAATTCTCCTGTGGCCTGCCCAGTAATCTATTCAGAACTATCAGATCTGCTGTGCTCTTCTAATCTTTCTGTTGTAACATCTAGACTAGAAATGCTGCACAAAAGTTGATCCTACTTAAACTGTTACACAGACAAATCTATCCTTTGACTGCGGTGCCAGAAATAAAGAGGCAATACTAGTCAGCTATTTCATAGCTTCTACATAGCTGGGTACCAAATGTTCGATTTGTTGCTACTGACATTGATACCGAGAAAGCAGATCTGCAGTTGTCTTAGGCCAGAGGCTCAGAGCTAGATTTTATTTAAAGGAGGCTTCTGGCTTTTACAGCAAAGAACAGTCCCTTGTCTCTTCTGTCTCTCTGTGCACATGGATAACCCTGCTTTTCTTTCAAATGGGGACCCCTCCAGAAGGCTTATGTCAGGGGGTGTGGCCTTCTGACACACTCCCGGTAATGTCAGTGGGTGTGGCATATGCTAATGAGTTATGCTAATGAGCTCCTGCAGATCTTTTTCTACAAAAAGACCCCTGCCTACAATGGTGAGCCTTTATAAAATCGGCAGAATACCTTCCCCAATTTGACAATTTCAAAATGCTGACTGGCCATACTAAGCAGCTGTTTTCTGTTAACTTTAACAGAAAACATCTCAGAGAAGATAGATATCCATCAATTACTGTGACAGGCTGATAGTATAGGATTTCGGGTGGAAATTGTTTTCTAAATTTCATCAGGCAACTTTCACTGAGAATTACAGAAATACAAGTTCAGAAATATTTTCTTGGAAGTATACAGGCAGGTAACCTATCAACATTCTAAAGATGCCAAAGGACAGGGCAAGTAGATTTGGTGGAAATGAAGGGCTAGTGCTACCAGTTTGGGGGGAAAAAACTATTTTATTTTTGGGAGGTACCATGTTCATATACATGCAGGGTTTCCCCAGTGTATTTATTCACTTCAGCACATACAGAGAAAGGGAAAGCCATAAGTCTGATAGTTGCCTCTCAGTCTACTCCTCCCCCTGCACACCCCAGCATAATGAAAAGAAACAGCTCCTGCAATTAATTATTTTAACTTAGGGTTTTTGGGGGTGAGAGGTGCTAGCACTGGAATATAGCTAGGTTTCTAATAAAAGCCCTTGTAGAAGAGACCCAGTAGAGATCACTGTTGCATTATTTCCATGTATGAAATGAAAGAGACCCTTCCTATACAGATGGTTTGAGGCTGCAGCCCAGCATGGCTGAACTTCAGAAGTGGTTTCTATGAAATAAATAATTTCTGGTTAACGCATTTTGCTTGGTGAGCCATGGCAGGAGGGATTAAAATTTAATTAGAGATTAAAATAGGAATGTTCAGCCTTCAGCTGCTCCAGTCCTATTTTTCTAGCTTGATGTTGTGCCTGCCCAAGTATGGAGTGAGTTCAAAATGATACAGTGTTATCCCCTTTTAATAACACTTACTGACAGTACTGGTCTTAAACTGAAGAATATATTTTGGCAGAAAAACTAAACAGATCCTAAAAACAAAGTAGAACAAAATCCATGCCATTCTTGAAACTGGAGTACAGTATTAGCAAGTAATGTTGAAGAACAAGTAATTCAACGGATCTACTATAGAATAAAAGACCTGCATGCTTGGCATTTTATCAGTGCACCTTGGTTTGTACCACCCTGTGGCAAACAAATGCTTCCAATTAAGCAGACAAGGAAGCATTTGCCACTTCAGGCTTTTGAACTGTAACAATTAGGGCTGCCAAGTGGGAGCGGGGAAACCCCCGCTTTAGAGGCCCGATTTCCACCGCTGCGGAATCGGGCCCCGGGGGGAACTCCGCCTCCTGAAGCGCAGCCACATCGCTCACATTGGGAGCGTGGCCCAGATCGTTTTTTCCCTCCGACGATCTGGGCCACGCCCTCAACGTGAGTGACGTAGCACATCACTTCCTGTGACGTGCTGGCGGCGCGTGTGCGCATTGCGTGCACGCACACACCCTGTTGAGGAGCTCCCGGAGCCCGGCGAGGCTCCCCCGCCGCCAAAGTAAGAAGACTTGGTAACCCTAGTAACAATTTGTATGTGGACTAGTAAGTACTATGGACTTTTAAAACAAATGCAGTAGACATAACATTAAGATATCCTGCTTAAACTAGATTCATTAAAATAGATAAAAGTTTGGCCCTTCTTGGGCTATGAATTTCAACAGGGTATGTGTCAAAGTTACAAATGGAACATTCTACATTTAACATACAATTTGGAACAACTGGAAGCCAATTCCTACCATCCTAAAGCCAGATGGAGTATATTAATTTGTAGAGATGCATAGGAATATAAACTTATATCCATACTTTTATATGAATATTTCCTTTGGAACTAATCCTAGATTCCAACTGTGCAGTTCTATATTTAATGCATTAAAATATCTGCCTATAAGCATTCTTTGCATGAGCTACAAAATAGTAATATAAAAATACAAGGAAATGTTCATCTTAAAAACATATGTCCTCCTTTGTTTATTCTGTTTTGTATCAGATTTATGAAGCTGGTGCCTCAATACTATTTTAGCAACCTGCCTCCTAGTGAAAGCAAGGCTATTCTGCAAGAAGCAATCAATCATATATCACCCATTTCAGGAGTAGATAAGGGACAAAAAGCCATCATCGAAGACAGAGGATTTGAAAAATACCCTGAAACACCAGCTGAACAACGATGCATTATTCAGTAAGCCTCCTAGATAAAACTAAGCTGAAGTATACATAACAACTGTGTACTATATACACCCCTGTTATCAGTCTTCATAAATGTACAGGTATTTTACAGTTGAACAAAGTGGTAATAACAGTTTATCATCATGTTTCACAATGTGAAACAACCTATCTGTAACTGGTGAAAAGGTATTCATCTATTTTTAACGATGACTTTATTGCACTTGTAATCAGATATTTTAAATGCCATCTCATAATGGTACATAAGAATGTTGTAGGTAACTAACTGCATGGCTGACAGTTTTGACTAGAATACGAAGGAGATCCTGAAATAACATAGAATTGATATCATAGGAAAAAACCTAGAAAATATTTAAGTCAAAGAACTCTTGCGGGGTGACATCACAAAGCCATTGTTAGAAGACAGTGGTTCAGACAGAAAGATATTCTTTGAGTTTATCCATGATGCTGTTTATCCTGTCAGCAGGGATTATCATCACAGTTCTCAAAGGTTTCATGGGTGTGTCTTCAAAAGACCATCTGCCTCCCAAACACATGTCACTCTCCTCTTGTACAGAGTAGCTAAACTTCAGAAGTGAATTCTAAATAATAAGAAAAGCAAAACTTGGTTAAACACATTCCATGCGGCATACGACAGTATACAGTTTGTTTCATTCACAGAGTGACACCAAGTAAAGGGAAGGGCTGTGGCTCAGTGGAAAAGCCTCTGCTTTGCATGCAGAAGGTCCCAGGCTCAGTCCCTGGCATTTTCACTTAAACAGGTGATGTGATGTGAAAGAAGGTGATGTGAAAGACCTCTGTCTGAGACCCTGGAAAGCTGCTGCCAGCCTGAGTGGGCAATAGTGACCTTGATGGACCAAGGGTCTGATTCAGTATAAGGCAGCTTCATGCGTAAAGCCATTTTAATGACGTTCAATTGTACTTTAAGGCTTACCAGCTTGTCGTAGAACTCTGTATGCCATGCTTCATATCCTGTACATGAATCTAGCTGTTCAACTGCAGACCAACACAGCTACCCCCTAAACCCTCGGAATGCTTGTGTGCATTATGTAAGGACAAATGTTGCAGAAGACCCCTTGCTGGCCCTGGAAGTGTATTATGAATCCATAGGCTGAAGTAAATAGCCAAATTACATGTGGCCTTAGTCAATATGCTTACTCTTTATGTTTTAAGATAATTTCACAGTCTGTTCCAGTAATTCTATGTGCAGAACTGATTTATGCAAATAAATTATATATGTAAATGAAGGTTTTTTTCCATAATGTTCCAAACTAGACATTTATAGACAGCTTTTTGACAGTGGTTGGTATGAGGGCATGAGAAGGCCGAGGCCATAAGGAAAACTGATAACTAATCCGGTGCATAGAAATGCCACACCTTGAATACTACAGCTTTCAGATGAAATAGTCTCTCAGCACTCTCCACAACCAGGGGGACTACTAATGCCTTAAACCTATGCCACTGCACTGCTTTTCCAAAGCAATGCTCAAGCATCCCTCGCAATACCAACCAGCTGGTTCTGGCCATTTGAGAAAGACAGAAGATGGCCAATATGTATTGGAGACAGTGTGGGAATAAAACAGAGTGGGAGATTTGACTTCCACAATTTGTATTACTCATTTAGCATGATCTCTATCCTGAACAGTTCCTGAAGTGGAGAACTGCCAGATGTTGGCTTAGTTCCTGGGGTACATCTCCACTAACAGAAGGCATTCTGTCAGCAGTGCAGTACTTCATCACCCCCCACCCCTTTGCAGCACAAAAAGATTCCCAAAATGCTGCTCTTCAGAGACAGGGGACAGCATGAGTAGTTAGTTGGAGATCTGCAGTGGAGTTAGCAGAAACGTACTGCAGAATCCAAGCTATTGGTTGGGACAGGATTCTCCTATCCCGAAGTCCATCACTGTGGTGATTTCCTGTACTAATAATGAGTCTGGATCCCCTTCAACAATGGCAACTTCACAATTATTGGTTTTTTAAACAAAATCATAATCCTCTACATGCCTTATTGAAAATCAAAGTCTTATCTAGCAGCTTAACAAGGAAAAAAGACAAAAAAGTCTTACTTCGTAAAAGAATTCTTCTTCAGCATTTGAAAACATAAGTTCTTCTTTCTTTTGTGCACTGCTTCCCTTTTTTCTAGCATTACTCTTTGCATCAATAAATGTCTTGCTAATAAGAAGATAGAAGTAGCATTTTCCACAGGGTTTGTTTGTCCTCTGTGCTTCTGTCAGTTCTTTCCTAGAAAAAAAAAACAGGTTTACATTCAGACTTCTTCATGACCAACTCAGATATATATGTAACTGCAATAAGCCTTAAGAACGAAGCTTTCCACTGTGCCAACAGAGCCCATAGATGTACACACAAGGACAACGCTTCCCAATCTCCTTAAGAGATCATAAGAGAAGCATCTGATTCTCCCTTCCTCCCAGTCACACACACACACACACCAGCTCTCCTCCTTTCTAGTCAACTGAAACAAAGCTGATTTGGAGAAAACAAATCAACCGAAATACATGAGAATCTTGCTTTGCTTATTTCACCAAACTGTAGGTGTTGTACATGCTTCCTATAACTTCCTATTTATGTTCCTAATTTTAGGCTACACAATCAATTTGTAAATACCTATACTGCTCCTACCTGTAAAAGAAACAAGCTCAATGAACACAAACTATGTATTCTAGGCCTCAAAGTAGTTGGCACCTTACCATTAAACGCAACAGGCAAGAGTACTGGAACTCACGATCAGAAGACAGATGCCGTAGTGGCAAGGGATCAGTGTAATCTGAAGGAAACCTAAGAGGGCTTCTGGGGTTTAAGATGGCCATTTTCTGTCCTTCTTCAATCCCACGCATCGACAAACCTGTACCTGATAACCATGAATGGATGCCATGCCATATGGAACTATTTAACGTGTCTCTGGGCCTCAGCAAGAGTGTGACTAAAGAACCTCAAGAGATCTCCTTCCCTTTCCCCCTTACCAGAAGCACTCATTCCCTCCTCAAGCATGCCAAAGATATCAGTGGTTCATTTGCTTAGTAAGATTCAATGCCAGAACTTATAAAGACATTCTAAAGTTTAATTTCAAAAAAGTGCAGTCACTTAGATGTTTAGTATCCTTCTTTCAGGTGCTTATACCTTGGTTTACTGCTACTGAACTGAGAAATGAATGATTCTTAGTGGCTGATTTAGAAAAATGCAGATCAAACCCAAGAAATCCCTAAAAGAGACTCCAAAAGAAACTACACTTTCTTACATGGAATCTTTTTGCATTGTCTGGCTCATTCCTTTTCTTTGTTCCTTTCCCATGAATTCTGCTGTTCCTTGAACCCATCAACTTCTTATGTCTTGTCTGTTGCTTGGATCCAGCATTTGATCTAATCCTCTTCCTACCAGCATGCAGATATGAATATGCAACACAGTCTCGGAATCAGCCATTTGCCTGGTTATGTGTGGTGAATTAAATTAGACTGTTCCTCATTATTGTTGAGATAAAGCTGCCCATACAACAGCGATACTACTTAATTCTATTTACTTGAGATTATGTGCCCCCCACCCGGGTGGATACAGATATGCCCCCATCCCACTTCCACCCTTTAATATGAGCTGATCATTCCACTTCAATGAAGTCTAAAGCCAATGTGCACATAATTCCCTGGTGGACGTCACCCTTTAGAATGATCTATGGCATCAAAACATCTCACAAAAAATGTGCCATGGTTTACTGTAAAACAAGTTATTTCTTCACTGCTGCAATCAGTCAAAAGCCCAGAACAATCTGTAGATTTACCTTGGACCTTTTGTTCAAGGCTTTGCCAAAGCTCTTATGTGCATTTCATAGATCAGCTTAATATCTTTTAAGTAAGTATCAGGCCTTCATTTACACCACGGGAATTTGCAATCGGATTTTTGTACTAGAAACGACATTCGCTGAAAATATGAAAGTGTGTGTGCGTGTGTGTATGTTTAATATACACAGTCATTTTAAGTGAGTTTTCATGCAGCCTTGCTCTAAAAGCTATCCACAGAGCACATTTGTCTGCCAAATGACAGCTGAATTGTAAGTTGGTTTTCCATCCCTCACAACAAGATTTCAAATACAAGTAAAATAACTGTTCACAATATGTGAAATATTAAGTACCTCTTTTAAAGATCTTACTTGAGAACAAACAAAATGTTGGCTTTCACTTCCCAGGCTTCCACTTTCAAGTATGTGATATTTTTTTCTGTCTCATTCAACACATTTCCATTTAAATGGAAATGAGGATCTGAGGTCATCTGAGGATAAAAAATTACTGTTCAAAAATGATTTTGGAAAAGCTCTTACTGCAGTTGCTGGTGCATGGGCAGAGCGATCTGCGGAGGTACATTAATGAATCTTTCACTAAGCAGGAAGCCTATAGGCTTGGTGGTGTCACTTAGGAGCTCATCCAGCTGTTCAACCATACTCTGCTCACAGTTCTTCTCACACTGGCTTAAAATCAGCTCTTTAATTTGTTCAGCACACTGGGTACCCTAGGAATCAAAAGGACAGATTTTCTTTGCATTAGCAAACAATTATTTATATAAGGCAACTTAAAAAGAGTTTCTGGGTATTGTTTCACAGGACTAGAGAAAGTTTCTTGCTGTGACTTTTAATACACTGTAAGGAATTCTTTCAAATGATACAAATGAAGCCTTAGATTAAGAGCCGAGTATGTATGTGCGTGGAGAGGGGTTTCAAACAGGATGATTGAAATGGCAAAGTTATAACTAAGCAATTGCATTTCAGTATGGCTTAAAGACACCAAAGAAGCCACACAACTAAGACATGCCATCAAAAGCAATATGAAACAATATTTTAAGGCACCTAGCCTGACAAATAAAAGGAAAAGCTTTAAAATAGTTTTTTTAAAAATCACATTGCTGCTAGTGATCACCGCAAACTCAAACAGACGATGATCCAAGTAATGAGAAGCAAGTGTTTTTGCTTCTACATATGGCAATTGCTACTTTGAAGTTACAGGAGTTAACACTATGGGGATGACCTTCCATTCACCACAGTAATTTCTCTAGCTCTTAACTACCACGGAACCTGGTAACAGAAGATTCACACCACATCTCCCTTATAAATAAAAGCCGAATGGTGGTGGCACTTCTCTAGAACATTCCACACGCTCCAAAATCAGTTCGCTCTGATCTGTCATTCAGAGTGTCTCCCTATCCACTGGCTGCTTTGCCTGAGTCCTGCCTCCAACATTCTAAACATTTTGCTAATCCTCTCCCCCCCATAGCCAGTCAGAACACAGAGGTTATTTGCATATGCAGCCTCATTGGCCTCTGCCTCGGAACACAGAGGTCATTTGCATATGCGACTTGATTGGCTTTTGCCTCTAACATTCTAAACAGTTTTGCTGTTCTGAGGTAAAATGTGTCCAATCTCCAGGTGAGGGCTGGAGATCACTCAGAATTACAACTGCTTTCCAGATGGCAGAGATCAGTATCCTTATATGCTGCTGAGGTGGCCCCCGTATGACAGCCAATGTGACGTAGCAGTCAGGGTTTCAGAGCACGGGAGAGGCTGCAGGTGTGTGGGGGGTGGAAAGCTGAAGAGTGAGGGAGAAATAAAGGTAGGTTGATGATTGGCTGGGAAGGAGATATGGTTGCCAACTCCAGGTGGGAAATTCCTGGAGATGTGAGGGATGGAGCCTGGAGAGGGTGAGGTTTCAGGAGGCGTGGGACCTCGGACAGGTACAAAGCCATAGACTCCACCCTCCAAACCAACTATTCCCTTCTGGGGAACCATCGTTGCCAATCTCCAGGTGAGGGCTGAAGATCACTCAAAATTACAACTGTTCTTTAGGTAGCAGAAGATCGGTTCCTCTGGAGAAAATGGTGTACTCAATGTCATTATACCCTGCTGAGGTCGCCACAGCAAATTGACACGGAGTGTCCAAGGCCGGGGCACCCGTCCAGAGCCTCTTTCTAGAGGTCGTTGTATTTATTTCCACAACGGGCCCTTTTCCTAGTAGTAATATAATTGGTGAAATTCTAAAATGGTGCCATAATGTCTTATTGTCAAGCCAAAATGATAGTCAACCATGCTTTATTTGTAGCAAAATAGAGACCATGCTTACTTTTTGTCAATTTTGCATTTCTATTCTATTCTTTTTTGATCAATATATTGAGTAGTTTAGAGCTACGGTGGCTCAAGTGGTTAAGACGCTGAACTGCAGGCTGTGGAAGGTCAGCAGTTCAGCAGTTCAAGACCCGGGTGCCGCATGATGGAGTGAGCTCCCATTTCTAGTTCCAGCTCTTGCCAACCTAGCAGTTCGAAAACAAGAAATTGCAAGTAGATAAATAGGTACCACTTTGGTGGGAAGGTAACAGCGTTCTGTGCGCCTTGGTGTTTAGTCATGCCGGTCACATGACCACGGAAACGTCTTCGGACAGCGCTGGCTCTTCGGCTTTGAAATGGAGATGAGCACCACAACCCTAGAGTCGGATACGACTGGCTTTCGAGCAAGGGAACCTTTACCTTTATTGAGTAGTTTGCATGGACTCTTAAAGTTCTCCTCTTTACCCAAGGCTGATATTTGTCATATTTATTTTAATGATTTCAGTAACAAGAATGCACGTGTGAAGTCATGCAATAAATCATTTATCAATGTACTGCAAAAATAAATTGCTGGCTTTAAGAGGAGACAGGATAGATATCAATGAGGTGTCCAATTATACTGAGCTGCATTTTCAGTAAGACAAAAAGATTATTATTATCCTTATACATTATTTCTACTGACCTTCCTTTCAGTTAAGTTTAAGAGGCTTATAAAGCCAAAAACCTCATCAGCATCATCTTCATCGTCACTTTCTTCAAAATCTTCGGCTTGCTATTAAACAAAAAGAATAAGTATGTTTTCTTGAGCAAAGTTATCAAGGCTTTCTGCCTGAATAAAACATCTGCCATTACTGTGACCTTCTAGCATGGGGGGTGGGTGGGTTACTTCTAAGCAAGCATCCACAAGATTAGGATGTATGTTCCTCTTGCAGCATGTTTGTATGAATCCCATACAAGTACACCTGCTTAAGAAAACACCAGATCTTCTTCGTGGTCTCTGTGCTTCACACCAATGGGATCTAGTGCGCCTGCGCTGGATCCAGCGCAGGCGCACTAGATCCCATTGGTGTGAATGCACAGATGACCACTCGAAGATCACCAGTTACTGGTAAGCAACCTGTTTTTATACAGATGGAAAGTCAGCCAACCTGGGAAAGCATATTTTTAAATATTGAGATGTCCTAGCTCTAGGAAAGGAAAGTTTTCAGAATGCTTCAGGTGAATATAAAAGCAGCAATTTGTGCCAAGATTGCTTTTATATTTTACAGTTCAGTCTACTATTAAACTATAGCTATATGAAACACACACATTTCAACAGTGTACACTTAATAAAGTATCAGTTTATCAGGTACAGTTTAATTTATCAGGTAATTTATCATTACTGGTCAAAATTATGAAGTCATCTGTTTCATGTTTCCATCAGCTAGATGGATGCCCATCAGAAAGTATAAGCCTACACCTACAGTGCTGTCCAAAGAAGAGTTGCACACTTCTAAGCACACTGACCTCAGCGGATTTTGAGGGGGGTAACTCTGCTTAAGATTACAGTGTAATTGTTTTTGGCTATCAGAGATCAGAAATTAGCAATTATGGCAGAAACTTTTATATCTGGACACTGACATTCCAACACCTCTACGACTATTCTCTTTTAGCCCCAGCATATCAGGAGAGCAGTGGGTGTTTGGCCTTGAAAATCAGAACCAAAGACTGTTGGGAGCATATACACATTGCATTGCAGTTACTTCAGGCGCCCACGGATATGTGTGTGTATGCAAAATTACATGATGCCCAATATTTGAGGGCAACACTGTCTCAGGTGCCTACTTGAGGCTGGTGCTGAAGTCTCATTCATGAATCCCATTGGGATGGTTCTTTACGTCTTCTAAATGTACATTTTTAAGCATGTGAAATGAAAGAGTGCTTATTCAATAGAAATCTGTGTCACTGTGTAGCTCCTGTAACTAAAAAGTAGCCGCTTGTCTATATTCAAGCCCGCCAACTTTACCCACAGGCGAGACCTTTCGATAGAATCAAATGCTGCGACCAGATCGACAAACAAAAAGAACCTTATGGAATAGTCACTTTCATTCCTAAGAACAAACAAAAAGCAACATTTGCAGGATGTTGCTGAGAGGAAAATGTACTCTTGCACTGTCTTACTTTTCTAAAATTTTGGGTGAGAAAAGCAGCTCTAACAGGTAAACAGAACAAACAGGCATTTTGCTCTGTGGAGGGCAGTATTCTCAGCCCCTAACTTTTAACAACAATTATCAGGACCCCAATGCTGAATCTTGGCAACTGCTGCCACAATAAGAGCTATGTCAATCAATTGCTCTTCAGAAACAATTGCCTGTACACAGCCTTTATTACTAGAGCATGTTCATTTCAGGTAGGTCACAGAGGACTAGGAAACCGGACAATATACCTTGTTTACTCACCATGGATGTATGCAACAAACATACCCAATCTAACATAAACACACAATATACTAAATTAAGAGACTAAGAAGGCACCTTACCTTGATAACACTCCCAACGTGATTTTGTTGTATCAATATATCAGTTAGCTCAGCTGTGTTAACAGGAGCCTTTAGAAAAAGCTGAAGAGAAAAAAAAACTGTAGGCTTTTATTAAGAACATGTTTTCTACAATGGCTCACCTGCTAATACTGAAATTGTTCTAAAAAAAAATCTCCTTTACCAGTCATAAATATAGTGTTAAAGAGCCAGAGACGGTTAAAAAAATTAATTGCCAGGCCACTGTAATATCAGGGCAGCATTCAAGGGGCAAGATAAATTCTAGCATAATTTACCTAGGTTTCTACATAAACTTCTTCACTATACTTAACCCCTTGCCTCAGACGTTTCTTTTCTTGCTGATACAATTTTAACGCCTCCAGATCATTTTGCATGCATTTCTGCTCTCTTGTGGATTTATTATTCTCAGAATAATGTCATGAACTGCACTTTTGGAAAAGATGAAGTTATCAATTCAAGATTCAGAATTTTAAAGTTGTAGCTTTAGGGCATCCACTGGAAAAGTGCTGAACTGGAGCATTAGACTATCAGAGTTTGAAAATGCTTCAGAATGTGATGGAATCAGCTCTGTGGATTTACAACCATCTGGAAACACAGGCACTCAGTCACAGATGTAATCCCTCCTCCTAATATTTACAATATAAGACTTTGCTATAAAGTATGTCACCCCATGCCACAAAATCACAAAGATGTACCTGTTGTAGTAATTTTTTTATTCCATTATAATCATTATCTGATATTGAATGTGCTTCAAATTCAACATTCACTTCCTGTGAGTATAAACAAAGAAAAGAAAAATTGCACACAAACTTGTCAAGTATGTCAGTTCAAGAGAAAGGTCACTGTCTTTGAATTGCTCAGTACTTATCTGAGATACACATTTATTGTGCACCACTGCTGACTTGAGGCATCTGCAATATTAATCCAAATTCATTATCTTATATTGAAAGTATCGATAAATCAGTAAATTCATCCCCCTCCCTTTGTGCAACCTACTAAACCAGGGGTGTCAAACCTACAGCGGCAGGCTGGAACTGGCCCACCCAGGCCTTTAATCCGGCCTGGGAGCAGGCTCTCTTCTCTCCACCCCTTCCCATCCTCACTGTTCTGAGCTTGAGCTGCCTTGGAGTATAGAGAGCAGAGGGTGGGGCTGCCTCGGAGAGCAGAAAGAAGAGGGCAGGGCTGCCTCTGAGCAGAGAGCACAGGGCCAGCCGCCAACTTCCCAGCCACCAACGCTGTCCGGGGGTGGGGGGGGGTCCTTTGGCTGTGATCCTCATGTTTCTTTTTTATTTTAAAAAACTGCAAAATTCCACTATTCCCCCACCTTTCCAATTTAGGCAGGCACGTTTTAAGGGTGTGCACACACTGGGGAGGGGGGAAGGTTTGGGACCAGCCAGGGCTAAAATACAGAGTTCTGCAAATTCAAGGGACTCCAGTTTTACAGAGAAATATTAGTTTCAACAAACATACCCTCCTAATGTGGAGCTCCAATGAAAGAATAGCAGAACAAGTGCTAAAGAGGACCACCCTGTAAAAAAACCCTGAGACCTTGAAGAGCCACTGCCACTCTGAGTAGACCTGGAAGGGGGGAGGGGGGAAGTTTGCAGTGCTCAGCCATTTCATATTTCTCTCCTGGGTCCAAGGCTCAGACCATGTATATGGCCGGAATGGGCGGGATAGAAATCAATTATATATATATTTGTAGTTTATATCTTTAAGGGCGGAGGGGAAAGTTTGGGACCAACCACAGTTAAAATAGAGTTCAACACACCCAAAGTACTCCAGTTTTTCAGAGAAATATTAGTTTTAACACACACATCCTCCTAATGTGGGGCTCCAATGGAATAGCTGCTATAATATCGTTGTGTTTGTCTGTGTCATTTGTAAAGTTTATATCTCCACTATCTGGCATTACATTTTATGACATGCATGGCCAGGCCCAACAAAAGTCCTATTTATGCCAAATCCTACCCTCATAACAAATGAGTTCGACACCCCTGTACTGAACTAACTTTGGAGTTAGGGTTTATCTGCCTACGCACTCCCACAACTTGAGGGCATTGCAATGTCTCTCACCAGCCACTCTCAAGATGGATTTGTTAATCCCACTTCACACTTCGCTGCCAAGAACACCAGCTTAGATAAAACCAGGTCAAACCTCATGGAAACTGCTTCATCCCAATGATACACCTGTGGGGGATGACGTAGCTATGAAGCTGGCCTTAGGACCAACAATACTTTATGTAAGAGATCCATGCCTTTTGAATGGACTTATTTTTCCTTTGGATCAGGGCAGCAGCAGTAAGGGGAAGAGGGCACCTAACCTTTCCCCCCTGCTGATTTCTCTCATCAGCAGGGGTGGATTCAGTTTAGGAAAACAGACCGAGAAAAGAATTATATATTCTACATATCACAGCCCCACTCCAGTTCAGGAACTTCACACCCACAATTGATTTTAACTTAGTAAACCATGAATGTATTGGGAGATTTCTTTGTCATATGCTAACCAAGAACTACACCCTATGCACACACCTTTGTCTTTATGCATTTAGAAAGTTTATATGCCACCCTTCTAGACACCTACTTTGATGCTACACGCAAAGTAAAAACAACAGAATAAAATATCAAAACAACATAACTGTTGTCGATTATAAAGCAAGCCATAAGGGCAGCATAAAGCAACATTCAGCTGCAAAAATGATATCCTGAAAACAGCCTTCAGGCTAGGAGACCATAAAAGCAGCTACAAAAACTGGAACCCGTCAGTGAAAAGACTAATCAAAAAGAAACGTTCCGACTTGTCACCTAAAAGACAGTAAGAATACATTATTACAATATATTTTTTGTTTTCTTCGGACGAGCCCAGGCATCAAGTCCTAAGTGTGGCCGTTTCCCTCAAATTTAGACACACACATAAAGGAAATGGGAATCTCTGGAGAACATAAGTAATTGGGGGGGGGGGGGCCCCCAAGGGCCCCGCCCACCCGGGGAAGAAAGGGGGAGTTGGGGTTGGGGTGGAAGTCCGGGATGTGTGTGTGTGGCTATGAGGGACACGATTCTCGGCGTGGAAGTACCGTAGTAGTGGTGGGGGTCGTCTACGGGCCATTATCACCCCAACAGTGGTAAAGCGGGTTTCACTCAATGGCTAGGCAGGCGTGCGATGGATCCGGAGCTGCCAGGGGAAGCTCAGCCACCCTCCTCGACTGGCAGAGGAAGCGAGAGACCCCCACCGAAGACTTCTTCGGGGGGCAAACAAGGAACTGTCTCTCTAGTGACCAGGCGGCAGAACTTGCCCTAAAAGTCACGGCAATGCTGGCTCGTGGGGGTGGGGAATTTTCGCTCACCTCGCTGAGCTCCTCTTCTTCTGTTTCCTCCTCTTCTTCTTCGTCGTCGTCTTTATCCTCCTCTTCCTCCGACTCAGAGTCGTCCCCATCGGCGCCCTCCTCCCGGCAATCCGGCGGCCCATCCTCTCGCCTCCGCTTAGCCTGAGAGGCCATGCTGCCGCTTCCCTGCTCTTCCGCGCATGCGCCCCGAACCCGGAAAGGAAGGCTGCGGCGGGGAAGGGAAGAGTGAGAGCTGGACGCGGGCGAGGGCTCCCTGCTGCCGACCTGGCTCCCCGCGGAGGTGAGCGAAACGCCGGCCCCCGGTGCGTTCTGAAGCCGCCGCTCTGGTCACGCGACCCAGCCGCTTCCCTTCCTCCTCCCCTCCCCCGTGGCTGCTTGACAGGGTTCCCGCAGGTTAGACGGGCGTTCTGTAGGCTGTGCCAGTAAAACGGTGGCTTAGACACCGCGAAGTGATTAGACGGAGTTTGAAAGCCCCGGAACTGGTCGTGGAGCCCTGGAGCCAGTGCCTCTGAGGCAATGTACAGATCGCTGGCCTGTTAATCAAGAGCTCCAGCCAGCCCACCTACAAGTAGTTTGAAAGCCCCGGAACTGGTCGTGGAGCCCTGGAGCCAGTGCCTCTCGGGCTATGTACAGATCGCTGGTCTGTTAATCAAGAGCTCCAGCCAGCCCACCTACAAGTATAAAATTAGGAAGGGAGTCTTCCAAGGACAGGTGACCCAGTATATATGCTGTGCGTGGTTTTTCATAATGTATTTATTTATATATTGGATTTATTAGTCGCCCAATCCCTGCTGTTGCACAGGAAATTTCATTAAGCATCAAACTAGCTCCACTCTTTGCACTTTACAGACTTCCAGCCTTCTCCTATGCAGACCTGTACATGCATTGGGGAGCTACAGCTATCATGACGCCTTGAATCACATATGGTGTAATGGTAAATTACATACATACATAAACTTTATTGTGTTAGCCCATAACCTTCACAAACAGTATCAAGAACAGTGTCAAGAAGAATATAATACCACAGTCTCAGTACCAGTAAAAAAAATTCTTGGAGTCCATTTAAAGTGTATAGAATGTATAACAATCATTAAAATCATATTAACAGTTTAAAATTAAACAACAAATCAGTCAGTCAGTAAACATAATACATACACTTATCCATGGGCTAAACTAACAGTAGACGGTTTTGATGAAAGCTTTATCGCCTCTGCAATAAACTTTGCTATTTGTGATGTTACCCATATACTTTTATCGGTGTACAATACAATTAGTCTATTGTTGTCTGCTCTTCCTGGGTATAGTGATAAAATATTCCCAAGCTATTGTTTGCGTTCTAGTGCGAATCTTGGGCAGCAGAAGACCACATGACCTAAATCCTCAATACATTTTTGATTGCAGGGGCAGACACATTCCATATATGGGATGCCTTTGTAACAGCCTCTTAGCATTGCCAGTTGTAGTGTCCAATCATGCTTTAGTGCATGCTTTCCAATGGGTAAAGTAAGATGGGAGGGTTAAAGGAGAAGGTGTGAGTTGCTTATAAAGGGGAGCTATTCTCAGGGTATCTAGCAGTATGGCTTCCATCTGTCCATTTATATCCAGCAGTCTTTGTTTTATTGATTGTATTGCTGAAAAAAACCCAAGTCCTCTTAAATAGTCTTCTGAAAATCCAAGTTTGGCTACTAAACTTAATATGTGGCTTTGCCGTGGGTTGACTTTTTTTTCCTCGTAAACCACGGTTAAGAAACTTGAGTTTAAGCTAAACAGAATTTTCAGCCAAAAATTAATAGCAGCTTTGTGAAATGATGGCAATATTGGCAACAGGGCCAGCTTGGATCTAGCTATATCTCCTGGTATAGAATTGGGGATCGCTCAAGTGGTTAAGACGCTGAACTGCAGGCTATGGAAGGTCGGTAGTTTAGCAGTTTGAGACCCGGGTGCCGCATGACGGAGTGAGCTCCCGTCTCTAGTTCCAGCTCCTGCCAACCTAGCAGTTCGAAAGCAAGAAATTGCAAGTAGATAAATAGGTACCACTTCGGTGGGAAGGTAACAGCGTTCCATGCGCCTTGGTGTTTAGTCATGCTGGCCACATGACCACAGAAACGTCTTCGGACAGCGCTGGCCCTTCGGCTTTGAAACGGAGATGAGCACTGCAACCCTAGATTCGGACTCGACTGGCTTTCGAGCAAGGGAACCTTTACCTTTACCTTTAGTAGCTAATAGGTATAATGGTAAATTTTGAAGTGCAGGAGACTTTCTGACACATTTTCACACACCTGTACTCATGCGCCATAACTGTACCCTGGACTGTACAACAAAAAGTTAACTTTAGATATTTACCCTTAAGGAGACTTTTTTTGAATGAGTGGTGGATGAAGACAGATGAAACCCCAATCTGATGCCTCTAGGAAGTTCAACACCTGTCACTTCAGAAGTTAACTGATGTTAGGGGAAACCAGAAATACATGTAACAGTACAAGTAAAAAAATCATGTTATACATTTGCCTGATTGGCAGTGCAGGTCAAATCAAAACCAAGGATAAAATTCTTATTTACATGTCTCCTTTCATACTGTAAAATGGATATCGTAATCACCAATCTGATGTGGAACTACTACAAGTAATACTATGGAGAGTGGTGGTAGTATCCTAATGACCTCCATGGAAGAAAATGAAATCCTACTGAAACAGATGAGTGGGCAACCACATCCAAGGAATATCATGGATGTGTCAACAATTTTCAGTGCCTCTCCGCCCCCTTAAATGTATAAAATGTAGGGGAAGTGCAGCCTGGATGGATATACTGAAGTCTTGATATCACGGATAGGACGATGACTAATATAATTGTTTTGCACCCCTCCTATGCACACTAACCTGCATCTGGCGACTTAGGTTCTATATAAGCCCTGCATGGAGCAGCTATATTTTACAGCTGAATATATGCATTTTCAATATGTAGGTACCATGAGTGGCACATCTAGGTCAGTGTTCTTCAGCCTTTCAGTCCAGCCCTTCCGCTGGGTCATGGAGTTTCATCTCACAGCCTAGGAGGCTGTGAGGCTCTATAGAGCTCCCCCCTCTTTTTGGAAGGACCTGCTGCTAAGAGGCAAGCAAAGAGGGCAAAGGCACTGTTCCCTCTTGTGTCTCTTTGCATTTGAAATCCTGTATCCGGCAAATGTATGGCATTTGAAATTCTGTATCTGGCAAATATTTTCACAGTTAAAAAAATTATTTCAGTGATGCAGCACTATGAAACACATGTTAATGAACAGTGCTCAAGAATTTCAAGTATGTTCAAATACCAAGCAGTGTGTTGTTTTGGACTGGCTGGAAATGAAACACCATGCAATGAGAGAGGGAATTTTAAAAAAACAAGAGTGATGATTCACCCCTGTTGCTGTAGTGATATAAACCCAGCAACTGACAGCTGCTTTTAGCCATTCTGGCTAAGAGGTAGTTCACTGAGCATGCATTCTTTGGCATATTCCCTTTCTAGGGTACGGATATTCAAGCACATCTGTTGAGATGGCATTGTGCCGGCAGTTAAAGTGCTGCAGCAATTGTTCTAGTTGCACCGTTGCTAAGGAAAAATGGTTTGGGATCACTTGGAGTCCAAAGCCCAATAATGCACGATCCATCTTACCTTCACCCTGCAGTGGCATCACCATATTTGACACTTTCTATCACTTTGTAATATCAGCCCACACTGATACTCTCTGCCAATTAATCCTGTTAGTACTCAAAGTGAAAGAAGACCAGCTGTTTGCAGAGGCGTCTCGTAGATATTTGAAAGAGAAACAAACGTTGTGCTACCTTGTTAGTGTAGCTCCTTTCAACAATATCAGTATTCGGCCAAACTGGGCTTCTGTGTGACATACCTGTCATCCCTCCTGAATTGTGTTGTATGAGACAAGGGGGGAGTCCAAAGCCCAATAATGCACGATCCATCTTACCTTCACCCTGCAGTGGCATCACCATATTTGACACTTTCTATCACTTTGTAATATCAGCTCACACTGATACTGTTTGCCAATTAATCCTGTTAGTACTCAAAGGGAAAGAAGACCAGCTGTTTGCAGAGGCATCTTGTAGATATTTGAAAGAGAAACCAACGTTGTGCTACCTTGTTAGTGTAGCTCCTTTGAACAATATCTCTATTCGGCCAAACTGGGCTTCTGTGTGACATACCTGTCATCCCTCCTGAATTGTGTTGTATGAGACAAGGGGCAAACAAATATGCAAATGATTAAAAAAAGGGAAAACTAAGCTAATTTTGGAATAGCGGGTACCTAGTTATTCAGACAATAGTTCTTGTAAAATGTGCACCAGGTTTTTAAAAACACTATATTCTAAGAACTAAATTGTAATTCATAGAAAGATAGTTCAAATTTCTGAATGTCACCATTGTATATTTAGGCACCAGAACTGCATAGTTATATTGCATTCACCCGTCACAACAAGCTGTAATTAAGATGGCTTTTATTTTTGAACTTTATACCTTGCTTTTCTCGTCAGTGGGAAACCAAAGCAGCTTTCATTGTTCTCCTGTCCTCCATTTTATCCTCACTACCACCCTATGAGGTAGATTACGTCGAGAGTCAGTGACTGGCCCGGGGTCATCTAGCAAGCTTCCATAGCAGAGTGGGGATTTGAATGTGGGTCTTCCAAATCCTAGCCTGACACTCTAACCACGACACCACACTGGCTGTGACACTTTTGACTTTCGCCACCCTATGCCCATGTGCTTCTCATCACACCATGGAAGTTTTCAGATTTGAGAAGCCTTGAGACAAACCCCAATTCAAATGACATCCTGGGTGAATTGGAGTTTGCCTCCCACAAAGCAGGGTTAAGGTTCTCAAAACTAGAAGTGTTGTTCTCCATACCCAGGGGGAGTGTGTGGACACAACATGCCTGTGGCATAAAATTACAGTTTAATGAAAGGTTGGTGTAATGATTCCTTGTTTGAGAGTGTTTGTGTCCCTTTAAATGTTTGATAGTAACTAGTGTGCTGTGATTGGTGGATGGCAGAGTGTGGGAGGAGTTATTCTGTGTGGATCTGTGTAGGTGTGTCAGTGAGAGATTGGAGAATGAGAGTTGGAATAATGACAGTTGGAGAAAAAGCAGTTGATGTTGTTCAGTTGGTTTTCAGTCAGTGAGAGCTCTGACAGTGCTGTGTGGAGTCAGAGCGAGAGAGCTGAAAGTTCTGTGTGGAATCAGTTCTATGTGAAGAAAGTGCTGTGTGGTATCAGAGAGAGAGAGAGAGCAGTATATATCTAAAAAGTGAAACTACAGTTCTTAAAGAGAGTTAAAGTTACAAAGAGAATAGCCTGTGTGATACAGTTGACATACATACTTACAAATACCTAATTCCTAAACAGTTACAGTTTAAACAACCTCTTAATTTGTTCTTTCGATAAATCCTTTTTATTTAAGTTTATCCCAGAAGCCTGATCCATTATTCCTCAGGACCACATAGATCCTCGAAAGCCAAGACCCTGGGTCACAATACCAAAACCAGAAGCAGAAAGGGGATTTGGAATTAAATAAAATTCCTGGTGGCAGCGGGAACTACCTATTTTATAAACATAAAGTATAATTTAAAGTGAAATTCAGTCCTCCCCAATAGGAGGTTGTCACAGTTGGATACAATCATAAAGTGCTAATATCTTCAGTCAGGTCATCATTCTCTCTGGCCCAGTATTGCCTTTTCTGAAGAAGTATCAGCTCCCCAAGTTCTCAGGTTGAGGTCTTTACACATGCCTGTCTTGCCCTCTAGCTTCTTAAGTTGCAGCAGTTCCTGACAGTGGGCATCCATGTAAAATAATTAGGGAATTTTTCCAGTCCCAAGAATGTTTTTAAAGTGCTAGTTTTAAAATAATAGTATTTTGAATAGGGAAGTTTTCTTTTTGAAGTCATTATAATTGTCAGGCTCCCTTGGCTGATTTGCCTCGGCACCCGTGTGACTTTTCTTTTTCTTTTTTATTTGCAACAAGTATTTTGCTTCTGAAATGACAGGCGCTTGAAATGTTGGATGTGGGGATATTGAGAGAGCCTACATAGATACTGAAATTTATTTTTGTTTCCAGTATTTGGTTTAATAAGCCACACAAGAGAGAGGTTTGTATACAGTTTAACAAGGCCACCAGGACTCAGAGCTGGTTAGCATTATCAACAGTGACCGTTCTGAGCATTTAGGGATATTTTCATGTATCCCAGAGTTGCCATAATGGTGGAACTTGGCCGGTCATGATTTGTTAAAGCAGCAGCCGTTTGATGCTATGTGAGACAGAACCATTTGAAACAAATGGTCACATGTATAGTAGTGTGACACATCTGGAGCTTCTCTTGTTTCAGAGCAGTTCTCATGTCAACATCTGCCTATCTGTGTAAAACGTACATGTCAGGGAAGAGACTTCTAGCCTAGCCTGTGTCTTGATGTGTAAGCTTTCCATGTTCGGGGAGCTTTTAACATGGGAACTCTTCAAAGGAAGTGATCTCCCATGTACATTCTGAGGCGATGTAGTTTTGTGAGAAAACTGTGCTGTTGTGTTTTAATTTGGTCTCTATCATGTAGATGTCATCAGGTTTTCTGAGGGGGAGAGTGAATGGGACATTTTGGAGTTTTGTGGTGCTGCTCAGATGTGTTAGAATTTTTGTTTGCTTGCTTTCTGTACTACAGTTCCATTGTATGAATGACACACCTAGTAATTACAAGTGAGGATTCTTATTCAATTTGGATTTTGTGGGTTATTCAAAAAAGAGAGACACCCCTTGGTGGTTCTTAAGAGCTGCTGGTCCTGCAGAAAACTTTAAAATGCATGTTCACTGAAACAGAATTGGAGTCACTTTGAAGCTCCTGGCACGTTCCGCCTCTGTTTTGTGCAGGGTGACAAAACAACTTGAGGGTGACTTTTCTTGGGAGTTCACATGTAAATGCTTTAAATAACAGATGTGTCAGAATGTATTCATACATAAATGTGATTTTTATAATATATTTGGCAAAGGTTTAAGAAGTGTTTCTAAGTATACTTTGGTATGTTACGAAAAAATAGAAGCAAAATGAATGCCTTTCTCTGTCTTTTATCTCTTTTCTGAGCCATATCATTTAAAGCCAACACACATCTTGCTAGTTTATCAGGGTACATGCTGGCTTCCAGAGAATTCCCATTAAACTGCTTACTCATTGTATGACCAGCTGCACTTCAATACCACTGTTAATTATCTTCTTTCTTGTGAAGCTCAACTGGTAAAGCCATTGTACAGAGGAGTCCTCTAGATCTAATTTAGATACATTTCTGTGTTGTGTTTCTGCATTCTTAGCAAGTCTCCAGTAAACAATGAAAGTTCTGTTGCTGAAGGAGCCTAAAGAAAATGAAAATGGACCAGATCCATATGTAAAAGTAAGTAACCTTAGAAAGGATTTATGCATTTGTACTTTAAATACAATTTAAACTTGAAATCTAGTGCAACACTTTACATTCGTTGAAATCTTCAAGCAGGTTAACAATCTGCTAATGGCCCACAGACAATAATTTAAGGACCATTGTATTATCAAAAAACAGTATAGCCAATGTTAGGGTGAGCAGTATGCGGATTATGTGTGCCCTCGTCCACCTACCTCTCTGGAAGCATATTTTAAAGTCTCAAACAAGTTGCGGGTAGTGCTGAAGGTTAGAAAATAGAACCTTCAAATGTATTAGTTTGCAGATTTCATGCATTCAATGCTTTTGTAATCAGTCCTATGAAGTTTAGGTGGTTGAAAGTCTCATTTGGTAGGAGAAAACATGTGCTTCCCAGCCTGGTAGGAAATATTTGCAGTAAATGACAGGTCATGCATGGTCTCCCCCCCACCCCCAAGTCAGATGTAGCTGGAGTTTCACAGAAGAGTATCTGGTTTGGAAGCAAACATCCTAGAGCACTGTCCCAAATTCATCAGTCTATTTTGAGTAAGCCTTTAAGTAAACCACCTACCTGATCTTCTGAGTGAGATTGGTGGGAATGGGGTCACCTCAGTGTTTACCAAACCTCCCTATGAAATCTCACTCTTTATTGAGTTTGAGGAAGATTGAAACATAGATTTTTAGTCTTGTGATTGCTACTTAGCCATAATATTGAATGTGTTATCGATGTTGGTTTAATTAATGTTTTTATTCTGATATTATTGTAAGGTTTCCCAGTACAACATTTAAAATAGTTTTTTTTAATGGGTATTTACTGATCATTGTATTGTGTCACATCAGTACCTTAAAATATTGCTTTTAGATTCATTTCATGCTTGGAGAGTCTCAAGGCCAAAGTCTGATGATGTATCCATGCTGTATACAGATCAGTTCATTTATGTAGAGTAGTAACACGCAACATAATGTTGACTTCTGTGTTGGCTGCACGAGTTCCGTGTGTGTGTGTGTGTGTGTGTGTGTGTGTAGTTTGGACTTTTGGTGCATGCAGATGTTTTTCTAGATTGTGGTTGAGTCAAAGATAATCCGTGGAGCGGCAATATTTAAGGACTCTTTTTAGTCTGGTTTCAAGCCAGGCTGTGGGACAGAGATAGTCCTGGGAGCTCTAGTTGATGACCTCTCTCTGAACATACATGAAAGCCATGCCTCTTTGTTGCTCCTAGTGGATTTATTTGTAGCCTTTGATATCGTAGATCATGCCATCTCGTCAAGGGATTTTGGAGGCAGAAGTAGGTATCAGGGGATATTCTTTAGACTGGTTCAAATCATTCCTCATGGACTGGACTCAAAAGGGTTGCTTTTGGAGATCAGTTGTCTTCCCAGTGTAAGTTGTCCTATGGGGTTCCACAAGGTGCAGTCTTATCCCCCAATGTTATCAGTCTCTACATAAATCCCTTAGGACAAATCATTTACAGTTTTGGGGTTCACTGTCATCAGTATGGTGCAAACACCCACCTCTATATATCCTTATCCAAGTCTCCTGAGGATGAGGTAAAGGTCCTGGATCACTGCCTGTCTGTTATGGTTAAACAACCACAAACAGCCACTAAAAGTGAACAAATTGAAACTAAATTGAAACTAAACCTTTGCTGACTTGCTTAAAAGCTTAGGGGGGTCATACTAGATCCAACATTATTGGTGAGGAAACAGGTTAATGCAGCTAGTTCGGAAAATGGCCCCCTACCATTGATCTGGCCACCTCGATCCACATCATGGTGACCTTGAGACTAGACTACTGGTCATGCACTCCACATAGATCAAAGTCAGCTCTGAGACTCCAGCTGGTGCAGAATGCCATAGCTCAGCTATTACCAAAAGCCAGGCCAAGCATGCATAATACTCCCATTCTACAGTCACTCCATTAGCTGCCCATCAGTTACTGGGTTCTATTCAAGGCACTGGCTATCACATACAAAGCCCTTCATGACGTTGGGCCTTCATATCTGTGCCTCTCCCCCTATGCTCTACCACAGCAGCTTCGCTCATCTAAGTAGGGCCTTCTGCAGGTGCCACCCTGCAAATGGTCATGTTCAACCCTGGGCTTCCTGATGGGCTCCCACTCCCCCTTGCAGTCTGCAAACTATACAAACCTGAATTATTCAGGGGGCTTTTTTAACACAGGCAATAGGGTTATACTACAACAGAAAGTTTCAAAAAGCTGTTTTAAAAAAGGGAAGGGGACCGTGGATTATATCACTGTGTATAGTATGTACTGTCTGTTGCTGCATTATCCTACAGCATAATCTCTTACATCGTTTAACATGTCATGTTAACACTTATGCTTTGTTTCAGCTTTGTCTCAGATTTCTGCTTGGTTTCAGAGTTCTGCAGTCCTAGTCTTATTACATTGCTTATTGCATATCCCATCCTGTTGACTATATTGACTTACGGTGTAAGTCTTGAGTCTTCAGTGAGACAGACTATAAATAAATTCGTTTTAAAGCAAATGTGTGTATTAGCTTTGCTTCTCTAAGTCATGTTTTAAATCATGTTGTCTGGCTGATTTAGGAAAGTGTTATAATTATTTTAAACTGAGAGCATCAGTTCTAGTCACTTACCACCAAACTGTATGATTTCATTCACAGGAACTGGAGTTACATGGACTTGAAGCAACTTTGATCCCAGTTTTAGCATTTGAATTTATTTCCCTTCAAGCTCTCTTCGAAAAAGTAAGCATTTCACTCATTTTCTGCTAATACGTGTCTTGCGAAGATTACACTTTTCATTTTTTTAGTCCTTTATTTGCCCCTTTTGATTAGGCTTCTACTTTCCCATGCTACAAAGTAGTTTATAGTTTATCAGCTATTTCAAGCTTTGGCAGTTCAGTTCATGAGCCATGCTTAGCGCACAGGGGTGCATTTGGTGGCGAAGGATTTAACTAATTCTTCGGGAGGTTTTGCTCAATTGCCCAATTGAACTGAGATCCTACCTAATATCATGGAGAAATGTGGACATGTGTTAAAAGTAATAATTTATTCAGTGTAGTCCTTACACAGTACATAAGTTAAAATAGATAGATCCCTGCCTTCACAAAGCTTACAATATAAAGCAGAACATGAGGGAGGGGAGGTAGAGATGGGTTGGGAGGAAGTGAATGTGGGCAAATGCAGTTACAAGTGCCTAAAGCTAGGTTACAGTCTTCAATGTGGATTAAGGAAGTAAGTGAAATAATACATTGGAAAGGGGTTTTGAGAAAGGATTTGAAGGATGGGAGAGCTGTAGTTGGTGTGGAGTTGTAGCTGGTGTGCATGTGTTTATTTTAGAATTTTATATATACAAAATCTAAAAACCTTGCCATTAGTATTTTGTAGGGGCAAGATTAATAAGCTACTGTTTACAATAAAACATTATTTTGTTAAACGATTTGAGACTTTCAAGTTGTGTCCAGTTAATGAATGACATACAGAACTGTCTACAGAAATTACTGTTTCTTTTACAGCTTAATTGTAAGTACCACCCCTTGACTTACTTTCCAGTTGGACATGCTTAGAAAGCCAAATATTACCATTCTAAGCTGAGTTACAGCCTTCTAAGTCCCTTGAAGTCAATGGACTTTGAAGGGTATAACTCTGCTTAGAAAGGCACTCTAAGTCTCAAGCATATATTTTTACTGTGCTGGCCACTGCAGAAATGATTTGGTTCATTTTTTATTTTTCCTTGTTTTGGAGTTTTTACACTGGCCTAAGATTGTTGCTTAATCTTGTCTGTAGAAGAGCAGCTTTTTCAACCTGTTTAAGAGCTCATGAGATAGATAACCTTGTGGGGCCTGTCAGTCATTCAGAGAGAGAGGTTTAAATAGTTTTAGGCTTAATGACAAATAGCCTGAGCTGTGATGGATGATCCTGCTCTGACACAGACACTCCTTGCTTCCTAAAGACCAAAGGCCTTTAAAACTCAAGCTGTTTATACATTTAAGTAATTGTGATGTTAAACTCATTACTAGCAGAGTGAGAACCTTGCAGATGAAGCCGTTTAACCACTACTTAAATATTTGAGGATATAAAAAGCTAGTGCATCTTTCGTACCAAAATGCTTTCTTTGTATTTACAATGCATTTTCTAAATGTCCTGGAAGTTACTCTGGAGCAGCTGATTAGCACAAGCTTTGCTCTTGCACACAGTCACCATGCCTGCAGCTACAAAACAGAAATGACTCAAGTGTGGCAAAAATGCCAAAAAGCATGTACACAACTGTACGTGTTGTTATGCCCTCAGCTAGGCTTAAAAGGCTGATGACAGGTGTGGGTCCCTTAGGGTAGAAACCAGGATGATGCTGTTTGTGCATCTCCACTCTAAAGGGATTGTTTAGCAAACCTCTTTTAAAAACATAAAGCTTAAATCCTGCATACATGGTAAATTTACTTATTATGAGGATTTGGTTTTGGAGTTGTAAACACTTATTGATGATTTAGATAAGTGATGCTCAGTGGCTCAGGAGCCACCTGTGGCTCTTTGAGCACTGTTCTCCAATGTGGCACCAACCACATGTTTCAGGAAAATGGGCAAATAGGTCACTCACAACTTGGAACAGGCACCACTAGAGCCAATGCCTTAGATGAGTAGGTTATAGCATCTGATTGTTAGAGATTTCATTGTGTATTTCACTGATTTTATGCAGAAAGAGTTAACAATATTTTTTCTTTCCATTTGGATTTGGGGAAAGTAGTGAGGTTACTGTGTTGCTTTCCTGACCGGAGTTCCTTCAGGCCGCCCAATTTATAGTACAAGATTTCTTCCTTAGAATCATAGTGTTAGAAGGGACCTCCACGGTCATCTAGTCCAAACCCCCTGCACAATGCAGGAAATTCACAACTATCTCCCCCCCACACATACCCAGTGACCCCTGCTCCATGTCCAGAAGATGGCAAAAAGACCTTCAGGATCCCTGGCTAAACTGGTATGGAGAACAATTGCTTCCTGACTCCAAAGCGGTGATTGGCATTTCCCTGGGCATGTAAGAAAGGGCCATGAGAACTAAGCACTGATGCAACCCTCCCTGCCCTCCTTCTCATGATCTGCCTAAGTTCACAGAATCAACATTGCTGTCAGGTGGCCATCTAGCCTCTGTTTGAAAACCTCCAAAGAAGGAGCACCCATCATCTCCCGAGGAAGCCTGTGTTCTTCTTAATGTTTAGTCCAAACCTCTTTTGATTTGGTTGTTGGTTCTGGTCTGACCTTCTGGGACAACAGAAAACAACTCTGCACCATCCTCTATATGAAAGCCCTTCAAGTATTTGAAGATGGTTATCATTTCACCTCCTTATGAAAGGTCACACAGCCAGGCATGCAGACGGAGAATCCAAGTGATGTGTATATAGTTTATTTAAAAGACCATCTCAGAGAATGAAGATGAAGTAAAAATGAGCTAATTGTTATTGTATATAAATGGGCTTTCTTGATATCACTCATGCAACTCAATATTCCTATTTGTGTATCATTTTTACTTCACAGGTAATAGAATGTCTAACAGCTCTCAAGGCAACCTTTTATTGGTTAGTTCACATTAAGTCATTCTAAGTTCCAAATTCCTGGATTTCTATTAAGGACAAGTTTGTTACCTTCCTGAGTCAGCTTTATCAGTCTAAGATCATGTCAGTAGCAGATCAGTTTTATGATGTCAAAGGACAGCTTGATATACAGCCTTAACATTACTGTAGTTGTGTGCATTAGGGATTTCATGTAAACACTGTTAAAGGCAGCAATAGCCCCTGCTTTAGGCTTTCTTGTTGTATTTTATGTCTTAATCTACATATTTTTCCCATTCTTATTGGCAAATAGCTTTCTCATCCTGAACAATATTGTGGGCTAATTTTTACCAGTCCAAGAGCCATAGAAGCAATCAAGTTATGTCTAGAAGATAATGGTAAAAAAGAAGGTGAGAACTGGAAACTAGTGAATTACCATTTATCTCGTGCAATGTGTATCATTCTAAACATGAATTTGCACAAATTAAACTTCACTTATAGGTGACAAACTGTTTGAATATTTAATAAATGTTTAGGAGAAAGATATCTTTGTTATTCTAGTGCATTAGATGATCACTGGATCAGATATTGTCTGAAGCTTTGTACCAAATATTTGCTCTGTGGGGTGTAGCTGTGGTGATAGCATGATCAATCTCTATGAAGTATTTTTTTTTAATGATGGCAGACTTCTGTATCTTTATGTTTTTTTCCAGAGCTGTTTATGGCTATTTTTTAAAACATGTAAACTTGAAAAGGTTTCATAAAAAATATTCATATGCCGCACCAGCCCAAATTCACCTTGAAACAGTTTGTGAAGTGATACCTTACTGTAGAATAATGAGAAGTAAAATATTGCCTCTTCCTAAAGGCGCATTCACAGTTCAAAGTTTCTGCTTAGAATCAAATGAAGTTCCTTGGCCTATGGTATTGAAAATCATTATACTGGAAGGTTTGCTGAATTTGTTTCCACTTAATCACTTATTTTTGATACTGATATGCTACAATTAACATTGTTTGGAATGAAGAAAAGTATATTTTTGTGATTAAGAATGCTCAGTTTACATGTTTGTCTTATATGATGGGTTGATCTTGGTAGTGATTTTGAGTATTGTACACTGGGGTATATTTTTGGACTTCAACAACTTCCTGTAAAATCATGCATTTATTTATTCTGGCAGGTACACAGTTTGGATGTCTGTGATTTGCTCAAAGGATAACTAGTTCTACTGACCATTTAATACTCAAGTTTCTTTTTTCCCTCTGCTGAACATTTTGGTTCTCTTTAGTCAATGACTGACAAAACATAAATGAGTTCTGTTTGTGAAAGTTGGGGCTTATAATGTGCAAGTGTGCATTATGGCTGTTGCTTTACACAAGTAGCTGAAAATAGCACATTTTCTGCCAAATGTTTTTGAAACATGTTAGACTGTGAACAAAAATGGAATTTTATTTGGTTTGTATAGTCACTGACATTTATACTGTGGTATTACGTAGTCCTATTTTGCTGATTGCTCATACTTTTTCACTGTAAGCTAACAGTCTTTTGGAGTTCTGCCCAAATAGGCATTTCAGCATTTGTACTTTTATTATCAAACCAGGAATACGGCCCATTGTGGAAATAAATACAGCGAGCTCTAGAAAGAGGCTCTGGGCAGGTGCCCCAGCCTTGGGCACTCAGTGTCAATTTGCTGTGGTGATCTCAGCAGGGTATAATGACACAGAGTCCACCATTTTCTCCAGGGGAACTGATCTCTGCCATCTGAAGAGCAGTTGTAATTCTGAGTGATCTCCAGCACTCCCCTGGAGATTGGCAGCAATGGTTCCCCAGGAGGAAATGGCTGGTTTGGAGGGTGGAGTCTATGACATTGTACCTGTCTGAGGGCCCACTCCTCAAATCTCCAGGAATTTCCCAACCTGGAGTTGGCAACCCTATCTCCTCCCCAACCAACCATCAATGTACCATTATCTGCCCCTCTGATTTTCCTAAAGGCACAAGTTTCTGCTTAGAATCAAGTGAAGCTCCTTGGCTTCATTATACTGGATCATTATACTGGAAAATCATTATACTGGAAGGTTTGCTGAATTTCCCCTGGAGGAAAAGTACATTCTTTCTCCACAGTGGGAACCAAAGCAGCTTACATCATTCTCCTCTCCCCCTTTTGACCTGCACAACAACCCTGTGAGCAGTGGGGACCAAAGCAGCTTACATCATTCTCCTCTCCCCCTTTTGACCTGCACAACAACCCTGTGAGGTAGGTTAGGCTAAAAGTCTGTGACTGGTCCGAAATCACCCACTCAGCTTCCACAGCAAGAGCCTATGTCTCCCCCTGGAGAAAATAACTGCTTTAGAGGGTGGACTCTATGGCATTCTATTCAGCTGAGGCCTCTCCACTCCCCAAACTCTGGCTTCTGTAGACTCCACCACAAAATAGCCAGGAATTTCCCAACCTGGAGCTGGCAACCCTAGTCATCACTAGCCCCAATGCGTTTCCCAAAAAGGGCAAAGTAGGGTTGGAAAGGGCCTCCTGCCTTTGAGTTTTTACTGACAGAACCAAGCTTGGTTGCCTAGCAAAAGCCACACTGAGGAGAAAGTGAGCCACACAGGGAATGGCAGTGGGCAGGGGAGAGGAGCAGACCCAGCACCCAGCCAATGGCATGCAAGTACTCTTGAGTGGCGACTGATGGGCCAATGGCTGATGGAGCACACAGCACAGCCAATGGGAGAGCTGGAAAGTGCCAGCACATTAGGGCTTTTATATATATATCAGATGCTTACATATAATTTAATGTTTTACAGCTTGGAAAAATTATCTGGGAGAAAAATGGAATACCAAACCAGTTTATGTGGTAGGAAAAGCTACTGCTGGGCTAGGTAAGCTATGCTTTAAAAACAAATTCTATAGGAAGTTTTTCTAAAAACTATAAAGACTATAGTTTACAACAGATATTTATTTTGCTGCATGAAGGAAAATCCTTTTTGCTAGTGTTACTTTAAACAACAGAGTAGGTTCCTTAATATTTACTCCTTAATCCTTCAGTACAACTTGGGATATTTCTTATCCAATATAAACCTCAGCAATCCTTTAATAATATGGGGTTGTTTATTATCAGTGCTGTACATTACATTATAGTCAGTGCTGACTATTACACTATTTCCAGAGCTACAGAACTTGTTAATGTAAATATCATGGAAGATTTCTGCCAAATCCAGCCGAATATTAGAGAAAATCATTTGAAGGTCTAATCTAAATCATAGCACTGATGCTCAAAACACATTTATTTTTCTCTGCCACCATTGCATAAGCACAGTTTTGACCAGTAGAGTATTTTGCATGGTCTATGGACTATGTCTTGCGCTACTGTGTTTAGATTTTGATACCATGATTGCTCTCTTGGACTGTTCTACAAAGAATTTGATCTATAAAGTTACTTGCATCCCATCCAACTCTTGTAAAATGGTCTGTGTATGGCTGCTTTTGAAGTTGACTTAGAAGCTGTAGTTGGTACAGAATGGGGTCGTAAGGGACTTACATGTGACCAGTGAAACGGGAGGTTACAATACCCTGGACCAGTATGGCTAGGTCAGCAGAATCCAAATAAGCCAGCTTATTAGAGACATGTAACAGAAAGGAGGCCCACCTGGCAAAAGCACCAACCTGTTTTCCCATTAACAGGGCTGGTTTCAAGATCACCCCCAAACTCTTCATGTGATCAGTTAAAGAAAGCTTGACTCCAGGGCCGGCCCACCCGCTAGGCAAACTAGACTTTCGCCTAGAGAGGGCCCTGAATAGGGGCAGCAAACTGCTGCCCTCACCTCCGCCAAAAGCCCCCCGCCAAAAGCGTAGTGTGCTCATTGCTGCCCTCCCAGACCTCCCCTCCCTCCTCTGTAAAACGCTGGTTCTGCTGGGCTCTTCTGAGCGAGACCTGGGCCCACTCCCCACGCAGCGCCATCTTCAGGCTCCGGCCACTGTGCTGAGGGAAGGAGGGGAGCGGAGGGAGGAGGGAGAAGCACTGTGGCAGCACCCCGCCCCAGAGGGGAAGAGAGAAGAAGGCGGGCGGGCAAGGGGCACCCCTCTGCCCTGCCTGCTCAGGCCCGGCGGACGGGACTGTCACAGGAGGAGGGCATTTCGGAGCGGGTCTCTTCCTCCGCCCACCCACCCCTTCTCCCTGCAGCAACTTCAGCCATGGATTTTGCAAAGTTGGGACACGAACCTCTCCTTGGCTGCCCCCAAAAGGGGCCTCCTCCAGCCACGGCGCGCATCGTCATCCCGTCCCCCACCCCTGCCAGCCGACCAGCTGCATCTCTTCCCTAGCACCGTGCCTCACGTCACCCAGGCTTGCCTGAAGGCGCTGCCGGCAGGTGGGCAGGAGCCGGTCTGGCGCTCCAAGGGAAGCGGGCGCACTCGGCCATATCCTGGGGGCGGCTGGCCTCCCATGCCTGTATGGGTGGGTGGGTGTGCTCAGACAACAGGACAGGCTCACCCGCTGGGAGCCCTGGGGGACATGGGCGTTAGAAACGGCACCCAACCGGCCTGGCCTCCGCCATGGGAGCACCCTGCAGCAGGCACGCCAGGGCCGAGGAAGGTGCGGGAGGATGCCAGGTTTCAAATGGAGGACTCTGCTGCAGCTCCCAGAGTGACATGGTGACTCCTGGGAACAGACTCCCCACCCTGGGTCACTGCGCGCCCCCCGGGAGTGACGGGCCCTGCTGGACCCAGACGGACGACTCTGGGACTAGGAAGACGACTCTGGGACTGGGAAGACAGCCCCCACCCCAGCCTTAAGCAGGTGATTTTTTTCAGTGCAAGGAAAGTCTTCCTTCTCCCCAGGCCCTGCCTGGAGGTTGGCAACCCCATAATTGGTGGGAGCAAGGGGGCCCCCAGAAGGTAGCCTCGCCTAGTGTACAAAAAAACCTGGAGCCGGCCCTGCTTGACCCTCTCCAGTGTTGGTACATTTATCCCAATCAAAGCTTCTACCTTTGCAACCAGCGTCACCTCTGTCTTGCCCAATCAAAGTTTCTACCTTGACAACATTGTCGCTGTCTTGTATACTACTTCCATTTTCTGTCCTGAATCTATTATCAATTTCATTGGGGACCTTCAAGTTCTAGTTTTATGGGAGAAGGGAAAAAAGTCTCCTCTTTGCTTTCTTTATCCCTAACCTTGTAATGGTATTTTCACTGAACTATTCACTGCCACCACCCAAATATCTTTTCTGGTCAGTCCTTGCCTGTTCAGGCCCCATGAACACATACAGAATTTTTCACCCCAGTGAGCTTCCCTTTACACTTTCTTGCATTGTATCTCATGTGCTGAATTGTCATCTGCTCACCCAGTCTGGGGAGATTCTTTTACAGCTCTTCACAATCTGCTTTGGTTCTAACCATCCTAAATAATTTGATATCATCTGCAAACTTGGCCACTTCACTGCTAACCCCCAATTCCAAAACCTTTATGAATAAATTAAGCAGCAGGGATCCCAATGCCAATCTTTCCGGAACTCTAGTGCTTACTCCCCTCCATTGTGACAACTTCCTTTTATTCCTACTGTTTGCTTCTTTTAACCAGTTTCTAATCCACAAGTGGGCCAGTCCTTTTATACAATAGTTGCTAAATTTGTCTGGGAGTTTTGATGAGGGACTTTGGCAAAATTCAAAAGCTTTCTGAAAGTCCAAATATATGTTTTGCAATTCACCTTTCTTCTTCTTGCTGTTGTGTTTTATTTTATTTTTTTTATTTTATTTCATTATTCAATTTATACCCCGCCCTCCCCGCTACGCAGGCTCAGGGCGGCTTACATTTGTTAAAACATTGTACATAGTATATAAATAACAATTAAAATCTGGTAAAATCATCATAAAACAATTCGAATCAGAATAATACTACTAAGTGCTGTCGATATTTCTCTAATTATACAAGGCAGTGTACTTTGTAAGTTTTCAGTTTCTCGATGTTCTTCACATAACCGGCCCTCGAGGCCGGGAGTTGCTGGTGATAGTGGGGGCAGCTCCTAGTCGAAAGCCTGGTGGAAGAGCTCCGTCTTGCAGGCCCTGAAGAACTGTGAGAGGTCCTGCAGTGCCCTGATCTCTTCTGGGAGCTCATTCCACCAGTATGGAGCTGCCACTGAAAAGACCCTGACACTGGTGGAAGTGAGCCTGGCTTCCTCAGGATCAGGGAGGGTCAGTCAATTCTGAGACCCTGACTGTAGTGCTCTCTGGGGTATATATGGGGAAAGGCGACCCCTCAGGTATGTCAGACCCTGGCCATATAGGGCTTTATAGGTAAGTACCAGCACCTTGAAACAAATTCAGTATGTTATTGGCAGCCAGTGCAGTGTTCTCAGCACAGGCTGGATGTGCTCCCATTTCAGGAGGCCCATCAAAAGCCTGGACCCTGCATTCTGCACTAGCTGCAGCTTCCAAATTTGCGACAAGGGCAGCCCCATGTAGAGAGCATTACAGTAGTCCAGTCTTGAGGTGACCATAGCCTGGAACACTGTGGCCAAGTCATTGCGGTCCAGGAAGGGAGCCAACTGCCTGACTAGCCGCAGATGGTAGAAGGCCGACCTAGCAGTGGCTGCTATCTGGGCCTCCTTTGTTGAGGTATGCAGGAGCACTCCCAGACTCCTAACCTCCAACGCTGGCACCAGTGGTACCCCGTCGAAGGTCGGGAATGGGATCCCCACCCATGAGCCACTCCGACTCAAGCACAGGACCTCCGTCTTTGCCGGATTCAACTTCAGCTGACTCAGCTTAAGCCAACCAGCCACGGCATGTAGTGCTCGGTCCAGATCTTATGGTTTGGAGTCTGACCAGCCACCCAACATCAGATAGAGCTGGGTGTCATCAGCATACTGGTGACACCCCAGCCCGTGTCTCTGGGCTATCTGGTCCAATAGCAACAGTACCGCCAATCCGCCCCGATCCAGATGCCTCCGGAGGTCATCTGTGAGAGCGACCAGTGCCGTCTCCGTTTCATGTCCCGGGCGGAAGCTGGACTGGTAGGGATCTAATATGGAAGTGTCATCCATAAAGCCATGCAACTGTATCGCCACCGTCCTCTCAATTAATTTGCTCAAATAGGGCAAATTGGAGACTGGCCGATAGTTAGCCAATTCGGCCGGGTCCAGAGATGGTTTTTTTAAGAGAGGGTAGACCATCACTTCCTTGAGTGCCCCTGGGAACAGCCCCTCAGAGAGGGACTTGTTGATAATATCCCTAAGGGCACCTTGAAACCCCTTGTGGCCAGCTTTAATAAGCCAGGAAGGGCACAGGTATAGGGCACATATGGTTGGACGTACAGTTGTCTAGACTTCCTCTAGACTGTTGTAGTTTGAAAGAGAAGGGCCACGGCTACAAATTTCCTGGGAGTAAGCACTACTGAATAAAATGGGACTTGCTTTAGAGTAGACCTCATTAGCAGAACTGAATTTTTTCTATCCACCTCATCTTATCCTGTTGTAAGAAAACTGTAACTATAAATTAGATTTCTATGTACAATGTTTGTGGATTTCAAAACCCCCCCCCCAGTTTTGGGTTTCTGAACTTTTGTAAGAACATGATATAACATCTCAGAATTTCTCCCCACCCATGATAGTTAGAAATGTTTTTATTTTATTTGTGTTTTTCTTAGTTTATAGTCTCAGGACTGGTAGGCTGTACAAATACTGTAGTAGCTTGTGGTCCTTTTGTTGTCCACTAGCAAAATACTCTCATGGACCCTTAGCTGTGCTGTATTTTTTAATAAGTTACTCTAACTGGGGCCCTTTTTCACAGGTGGAGTTATGTATATCCTGAGTTAGATGATTTCTAACAAGTGTGTGTATTTCACTGCAGTTAGTAGCAGTAGTTGGTTGACTAGATTAAAGACAATTCTTTCTTTTTCGATTGCATGGTTTTATCATTCTTGTGAAGGGATACATTTGAAGGGGAGAGGGGTTAATGATAAATCTAATGCACATCAGTTTGAATCTAATGCACATCAGACAACTACTTTTTTGACTGGTTTAGTGCTGTATAACTCACCATTGTTTGTTTAAAGTTTACAAGATAATATGATGCCTTTCCCTCTCTTAATTTAGCACTTACAGTGGTAAGGTTATTTTGTTGTAATTGTGTTCAGTTTAAAGCTTCACTGTGTTAGACAGGGACCTTTTCCTGTACCAAAGTTGTACTTACCTAGTAACTGCCCTGTAAGGGTAGGATTCTCAGGCCATCACACAGTGCATACCTTCCTGATGTATCTGGGGCACCTACGAGCTAGCACAATTGTATGAAATATTGATTTATTCTCTTATTTTTTCCAAGTTTGATTATAGTAATTTTCTTCTTTCTCTTGTCTTCCATTCTCAGTTCTGCTGCTTATTTGTTGTGCCCGTGTCTTGTTTTGCTCCTCTGTTAAAGTATCTTCATAGGCTCCTGTCTGGATTAATTTTAAGTTACTAGGGTGTTTTTTTTTTGTCTTTCTGTTTCTTCAGCCATCTTCTCTCTTTTCTTTGTCTTTATTTGGTTCTTGTGGTCTGTAGTCCAGTAAAACTTTCCTCTGGGTTAAACCCCAGGTTATTTCTTCTGTGTCACATCTTCCCCCTTTTTCTGGAACTCACTGTCCCCCTGATATCCACACATTTTCTTTCTTGAGAAACACCATCAGAAAATATGTTTCCTCTCTCAATACTTTAACCTCCCTCTTTGCCTTCCCCTTCCTTTTGTGTTCCTTTTCCTTCTTTGGTGTAGTGGGTAGGTGCACGGACTCTAATCTGGGAGAACCGGATTTGATTCCTCCACTTGCACCTGGCTGGATGACCTTGGGCAAGCCGTAGCTCTGATAAGAGCTGTTCTTGAAAAAGAGCAGTTTCTGGCAAGAGCTCTCTCAGCCCCTCCTACCGCACATGGTGTCTGTTGTGGGGAGGGGCAGGGAGAGGAGTTTGTAAGCCACTCTGAGACACCTTTGAGTAGTGAAGGGCGGGGTATAAATCCAATCTCTCCTCTTCTTCTTCTTCTTTGTGATCTTGTTTTTCGTTTGAGTTGGATCTTAAAGAACCATAATTGCAGCAGGGAGTTTTACCACTTTCCTCTTCTCAGTGCAGCCCCCTAAATGCCTGTTTCTTAGACTCAGGAATGGCATGGAATGCAGTATTGAAGGCTGTAGCTGGAATAATTCTCCCCCCAAAAAATAATTAAAATGGAAGGGACAGTTTCTGCCCATTTCCCCTTTTTGGCTACAGTCCCCATCTTCCAACCACACACACACCACATGCTGTGTCTAAGGGTTCCCAAGTTTCAGGAGGGACATTGGTTGGAGGGCTGCAATAGGAAGTCGGAGGTGGCAAAAATCCCTACAGTGACTTTTCTGTTAGTCGTTCTTAGTATCCAGCCCATTGTAAGCACATGAACAGAATTTATTCTTTTTATTTTATGACTGTTCAGTGCCTAAATTTCGAGCAAAGCAAGTGGCAATCAGGGACAGGGCTTTCTGAGTGGAGTTTTGTCACGGATAAAGCTACAAATAGAGGGGAGCACTTGCTAGGCCTGACCAAAAAATCACAGAAAATGTCTTTGTGCACAAAAACAAAACTAGCCTGGCCTCCTGGCTAAAGCACGCGGAAAAAGGAGTTCAGAGGCCCAGGATGGAGTAGCCCTGAAGAAGAGCAAGGAAACAAAGTAGTAACATAATTACAGCCTTACATACATTAGAAGCCATCTATCACGTGATACTTTTTGTTGAGTCTCAGATGCAAAGAGCATCTGAAAATGTCCACAATTTCACAGAAGTGGAGATATTGTTCAAAAATGTGTGTGTTGGTTGGGGGCCCCCAAAATATATTCATATGAATGCAAAACTCGTAATCCCTATTTTTTAATAAACGTTAAGATTAAAAAGAAGCAAGAATGAACGGTTATATATATTTTAAAAAGACATTTCAAGTATAGATAACCTTCTGTGGTGTTTGAAGATATAAGAAAATTAAGTAAGCCAAGTGGGACAGTTAGCTGTTGTTAGGAGATTATGTTAAAATTCTATGAATAGGGGAGGCTCAGTTGATCGAGAGCTTCTTCTCAGAAGGGGCTCCATGCCTGTGACCAGCTTACTTTTGGGTGAGGAACTTTTATGGACTTGTGTAATTGCTCTCCTTTAGTTATCTGTGTAGAATGATGGATGGTATAATGTTTTGTTGATTTAGTAAGTATTAAGAATGCAATAGTTATGCTTTAATAAAAAAGTTTAAAATGGAAGCAGAGATTCTCTAATACTATTGACTTATGCACAATACCCAGAATGAATCTAAAGTGGCCAGGAGTTAAATTATCTGATAATAGGAAAGCTGACTAGGTGCCTAGGGCTTTTTAAGTGTACATCTACACCTGAATCAGGCCTGACCTGAGTCATTTGGAGCAGTCCACCTGGCACCTATTTTATTGGCTTTTAGGTGCCAGGCCAAAATATTTCTTTTCATTCAGACTTTTAGCTAGGTAAGGAAATTGTTTTAGAAGCTCAATCTGCATGCTGTCTCAGTTGAACTTTTTGTCACCCCCTAAAGTTGTTCTTTTCCTCGTTTTCTTTTAGTAGGTGAAATAGGCCTTGTACCACAAGGAGAAAACTGTGGAAATGCTGAAAAACTAGCAGGATACATTTGTTCCCGTAAGTGGGTACACATTTTGGAATTACTGTTTTTAAACCTATTATATTTGGCGTTTTACAGGCCTAAGGTATATTGTTTGCTTGTTTGAAGAAACTGTTAGAGAAATTTGTCTAGATAGTAGATAATCTGCAAATGGAAGACTTAGGGTCATGGCTCCATTGCTGTTACCGGTACATACTCCAGCGCATGGTTTGTAAGCAGTTCCATCGGTGGAAGAAATGCAGGAGATTAATTCTCTCCTGTGATATATTGTGGTTTGGATCCAGGGAAGTGCATGGCCAGTGGTTTTGGGTTTTTTAATTCCCAGTTTCTTCATTTTCTAAACATGAGAACACCAGCTCACAGGTGATTACTCAGGATCAAGAAAGATATCTCTCAGTGTGAGACTCTAGAAAGCAGTTGCCAGATTATATAAACAGTAGAAGACAACCTCCTGAGCTGGATTTATGCACAAACTAAGTAAACTGCAGTTTAGTGACTGAGATTATGAGTGGCATGTCAATACAAAAAAGTTTAGTAGAAAATTAGAGAAGGGGGACAGTGTTATGGGGCCTTTTAAACTTGGCATAGTTCAGGGCTTCAAAATGTCTTCATTTAACCCTGGTAGCTTCCCATGATCAGTCTGTATGTTCAAAATCTCTAATGTGAAATGAATCAGTATTTACAATTAATTCCACATGCCATACATAAACTGGAGGAGGGAAGAATTATGTGCACCTTGGAGGAAGGGTGGAGATAAACCATGCACCTAAATAAATGCACTTAATAAATAATACCCATAACATACTGGACACATCTCCACTAAATCTATGAGCTGTGGGCAGCAGTGTCCAGTGATAATGTTTATACAAAACACCTTTCATAGTAAACAAAACTAGGTAATACTTAACAAACTGGAAACAGTCTTTTTATAATGTGGAATTTATCCTTTATTTTTTACTTGTGCATAAACTTTAAGGGCAAGAGAATTAAGTTTCCATTTAGAAAGACTTATCTGTGGTTTCATGTTCAAACTATAGTACCGGTCTGAAAATAGTTGCATTTGTTATTCCAGTTTTCTCTGCCTTTGGTGCTGACATTGGCTGAGGCACTTGGGAAAACATATCAATGGACTCCTTAATTAAATAGGTAGCATCAGCCTTTTTCTCAAGACAAATCTCATAGTCTTATGGAATTTAATGCCTCTCCATATTTTGTTACGGAGGAAGAAAATACTGCTATGGATAGTGCTTGTTCTGTTGTCCAGTGGTATTAAGCTGCTGTTCATTCTTCCTTTGTAAACACAAGTCTAAAAGGATTAGCATTGCTTTTCAGATATCACATTGGCATTTCAATTAACCAGCAGCAGCCTTGGTAGGATTGATATTAACATATTTTGCTTTTATCTTGCAAAATACTGCTCTGCATTCTGTCTCAAGCCCTTTGTTGCTTCCTGTAATTTATTACAAGCGTGTCTGTGGTGCCTAATAAAACTTCAGTTTGCAATTAGGTTATTCTGATAAATCTGGGCTGACTCCTAATAAGGTCCTTCAGTTTTATTTTACTGGAGTGAGCCTGTGTCTCCCTCGCCAATAGAAAACTCAGGAGTTTAAGAGTAAAAGGCAAGAATGTGGTTCTAGCATATTAAAATAAACAGCGTAATCTATATTGTAGTCCCCCCTTTTCCTTGAAACTTTTCTTTAAAAAGCAAATAATTTCAAATAAAAAGTTTAACATAAGTAGATAATATTTAACTCCTCTGTTCCTCCCTCCAATTTCCCCAACACACCAACCATCTAATCCAGGGAGCAAACATTCCAAGCATTTTGGCTCACAAGTACAATTTATGTGCTTTCTGATATGTGTATGCATCTCTCCTAACTGTTCAGTTTGGGAAATATACCTTCATAAATGTTAGAAGAGAAGGCATTGTCTGGAGTTGGGGGGCAAGAGTGCATTTGAGGAGAAAAAGAAGAAGAGAAGAGATTGGATTTATACCCCACCCTTCACTACCCAAGGGAGTCTTCAGAGTGGTTTACACACTCCTTTGCTGGCGCAGGGCTTAGTAAGGAGAGGTCCCGCTGAGGTCCACAATAAACACACCACACAACCATTTTGGAATAAAGAACAGGCCACAGCTTTTATTGATTACAGACCAAGGAGCATTGGTGAAGCATGGGGGTGGATCTTAGAAAATTGAGCGACCCGTCTGCTGCCCGATGACCATGTCCCTCAGCCCGCCTGCTGAGGGAAAAGCCCGGGAGTGACAAATACTACTGGTATCATCACTGTGTAGAGCCCGCCAGCCCCCCAAAAACAAACCAAACACCGCCCCCCCCCCCCCAAGCTGGTGTGGAGCCAGCTAATGCGGTTGTCCCAGTTTCCCGCCTCTGCTGGCCGTTAGACCAAAAAAAGGGGGGGAGACCTCTTCCAGCCCTCCTTTGCCCACGCAGCAATCCAGCCTTTCAGGTACGTCTTGGCCATGTTTCCCTTCCCCTCCCCACAACAGACACCCTGTGAGGTAGGTGGGGTTAAGAGAGCTCTGACAGAAACTGCTTTTTTTCAAGAACAGCTATGCCAGAACTATGGCTTGCCCAAGGTCATCCAGCAGGTGCAAGTGGAGGAGTGGGGAATCAAACCCAGTTCTCCCAGATTAGAGTCTACACACCTAACCACTACACCAAACTGTAGAAGTACATGCAGAACGGATGAGATCTTAACAGGAGCCATAAACTAAGCATACGCCCATCTCCCAAATCAGTCATGAAAAAGCAAGTTCCAAGCACATGCTGGGCCTACAAGTCACACTTGTCTGTGATTTCTGTGATAAGCAAAGAAAGTACAGGGAACAGCTGCTGTGAAGTAGGCGTCTCTGGAAGTCACCAGCCCGACTGGGCCAGGGTCTTTCTGGTCTAGCATCTGCTTTCCCACCGTAGTGTGACTGATGCCTCTATGAAGCCACCAACTGGGCATCACTGGATCCATGTGACAGTAAATTACAAAAACATGTTACAAGAAAGATATTGTGTGAATGTATTTAGAATTGGCTTCCAGAGGGAGGCCTTGCCAAAGATATCCGTAAGATGCCAAGAAGTTCCCCCTAATAGAGTGGGCTGGAGAGAGGGCTGTCCAGTTTCAAAGGGGGAAGAAATGGGTAGATCAGATCATTGAGATAACTCCCTAGTGATAGGAAGGGAGGTTATGATACTGCTCCTGATGGCACTGGGGACTCCTCTTGTAATTGTCCCATGCCTTTGATGCTTGACAATGCAATCCAAAACAGCGTTACACCCTTCTAAGTCCATTGATTTCAGTGGACTTAGAAGGGTACAACTCTGCTTAGGATTGCATTGTGAGTCTCAGTGGAATTGTGAGATAGCAAATCTATTCTGTAATAAGTTTCTAGATAAGTAAAATACCAATGCCAAGTGATCGAAGGGGAGATAGAAAACTTATTTAGATTATTGGAAGCATTGTGTTTGGTAGCTCTCTAGCAAATAGCAAAAGAAGCAAAACATAGCAAAATAATTTATCTCTTTGCCAGAACATTTTAGCCAAAGTATCCATGCCTTGGCATTCAAACCTCTTTTTAATTTCCATGCTAAAGAGCCTCTGCTTTGTATAAATTTCCTGTGTGCATTGAAACATGCTGTATTTTAAACTGTATGTTCAGTGTGCAACCATTTAAAATAATTAATTTGTGGTCTGTATTTAGAATGTCATCATGAATACCTTCTATTTTTATTTTTCAAACAGGGGAGTCATCCAATTCATTGCCTCTACTTTTCCCTTGTGGGGCTCTCAAGAGGGAAACTCTTCCAACAATGCTTAGAGGAAAAGGTTTGATGTTTTAAAAGAGTTATATAAATATTTGAGCTTAGCGAGACATTGCCTGTTGCCAGACCAGTGATGGGTTTTACATACTTGTTTTAAAGTACTGAAAGTTTGGTTTTTTTTAAAAAAAATCCAACTTATTTCCTCTTCTTTTCACCTTTTTTGGGACTAAGATAGCTACCATATATTTTTCAGGTGGTTAGTTTGCAGATTACAGATTCTATCTTTTATTCATTTTAACCATTTCTATTCTGTGGTACCAGACAATTTGCTTGTCAAGTCACTTACAAGGAGTAAAAAGGCAGTAAACAGATACAACTAGAAATAGCATAAAAACAAGGGGGGGGGGTCTTAAAACCATAACAGCAGTTCTAATAGTGACTACTACCAAAGCAGAGATTTAAAATATCTTAAAATGATAAAATCACACAGCATCTGGTACTTTACAAAAGCCGGCAACACAAACAAACAAGCAGCATCAAATATTAACCACTGAGTTTTGAATTGTGAGTCATTTGTGTGAACTGGAATTCATGTGAAAAAGTTGGGCTGTAAACAAAGCTTGCAAAATGCTAACAAAAAGTAGAGTCAAGGTTTTATAATGGGAAGAGTGCAGTGAGGACTCACGGTGCCTCAGATCTTATTTAGATTCTGCTCTGAGCTTTTCGGGGAAGAGCTTCAGACTGGGACTCTAGCTCAGTGGAATAGTACATTCTTTGCTTTCAAAAGATACCAGGTGGAACCCCTGGACTCTCCAATTGAAGGATCTCAGATAGCAGATGCTCAGAAAGAACAATCTTTGCCTGGAATCCTAGTGAGTCAGAATATTCTGAGCCAGATGGATCAACTTGTTATAAGGCAGTTTCATACATTCAACGTAGGAAAGAGGCAGCTTAGTATTCCCTTTCAGGAGTGAATATAGCTTCTCTCCACACTTTTGGCAGAGTTTCCAGGTAGATTTAAACCAGTGACCTCAACAAAATGAATTGCCAGGGGCACTTCATCTAGGCCATTGAGGTTGGGCAGCACAGGGTGTTCTAGCTACTACAACATTGGGGTTTGATGACCTGAGATGTAGTATTAATACTGCATGATGTGTCAGTGTCCCCTATACTATGAACTGTTCTTTTTCTGGTTTAAATAGCAGAGCCTACTGTCCAGGGTATACCAGAGAATGGTATCCTAATACGTTTTGGCTTCTACAGAAATAGAACCTGGGCACATACTTAAAGAGCTTGTATGCTGAAGAAAGTGTAGTAAAAATGTTAGAATAGAACTACAAATGAAGCACAAGAGAGAGTTGTCCTACTGCTGGCTTTGAAACAAGATGCAATAAAGCCAGTGTATGCCACCTGGTACTGTTGACATGACATATTTCTTCAAGATGGGGATGTAACATACCACAGCTGCATTTCCACTCAATCAGTAGTTCTCAAAATACCCACCTTAATTCTATCCCATTTCTTCCTGTCTTCCTTTAGGGAAAAAGTTTCCAAGTTCATAAAGTTTTATTTTAAAAAATACTGTGCTTTGCTTTCGATAATCACACAGTACATGCAGCAATCTCATCTACTGAACATGAACTCCGAAGCTCATTTTCACACATTCTAAGGCCATTTCATGTATGTGTCCAAACTGGCTAAAACACCCAGACTCTCTAATATTTATAAACTATAAACACTCCTCCGAGTCTTCCTGTTGTTCAAACACATCAGCAGCTCATTTGTGCTTTTAATATACATCTATCTTTAGTCACATTCCCAAAGACAAAAGCAGATGGTAATCCTGTGAACCACTGCTGCCTTAGCTGTCCTATCTGCTGTTTCATTACTCACAGACCCTTCACAAATTGAAACCCAAGGGGGGGAAAGGCATATCTTCTATACTTGAGTTCAGTTGACAGAACCCAGATTTCATTAATCAAATCACCCTTCCAATTAAGGCATCTTTTGCTGTCTGCCATTACATTAGATAACATAATCTGCTACGACAGGATACATGTTTTGATTCTAATGTAAAGCCACCATTATATCTACAAATTCAGCAGTCATAATGGACAGTTGATCAGTCTGTTGGACCTGTGTCCCGTCTCCAGAAACAGGGATGCAAAAGAAGGTACCATGCCTTCCCACACTAAGGCACGTTAGACCTATCCATGTATATATGCATTTATTATTTATTTAATTGCATTTATATCCTGCCCTCCTCGCATGCGGGCTCAGGGCGGCTTACAAAACACAGGTGTAAAACACCACCACAGTTAAAACAACTAAGGCACACAGTGCGATAAAATACAGTTAAAACAATTTAAACACAGTTAAGCACAGTGGGCAACTTCCAAGGATCCATCGCGACTAACATACTTGCTCCCTATTGCACATCACATTGAGTCAGAGAGGGGGATGCTATGGCCCCGATGTTCGGTGGCCAGTCAGCCTAACCCAGCAGTACTGCTTTGCAGTCACCCGTTGGTGGTGGTGGTGGCGGTGGCTCCTATTCTAAAGCCTGGCGGAAGAGCTCCGTCTTAAAGGCCCTGCGGAACTGTAACAAGTCCCACAGGGCCCTGATCTCCTCCGGGAGCTCATTCTACCAGATAGGAGCTGCCACCGAAAAGGACCTGGCCCTGTGGCAGCAAGCCTGGCCTCTTTAGGGCCCGGGGTCACTAGACGGTGTTGTGACCCCGACCGAAGTGCTCTTTGGGGCCTGTTCAAGGACTGCACTTTTAATGCTTTGAAATTAGTCTGCTCTCTCACATCTTTTGCCAGTTCCCCAAAAAATCACAGATGAAGATGTATCCCCTCTCATATATTTTATTAATAATACTCAAATGTTGTATTTATTGGCTATACCAGAGATCTTGCACAGCTCATTTAAAGTCTATTACAAGCTTTCTGATTCTCTCATGGGCTTCTGTGAGTGTAACATATTCATATAACATCACTTCTAAATTAATACATTTTTGATTAGAGCAAAGATACTGCCTTACTTGGGAAAAATCATGTATTTTTGGATCCTTGAAAAATCTTCAGCTGCATGTTGTGGAAATTTTTTTCCGTTTGTTCTCCAGTTCAGTTTACCTTATCTGCCTTGATCAACTTCCGAACCCCATTTTTTGAATAGTGAAATGGCCATATGATAGCATCAGCCACTTAAAATTTTTATATAAGTATATACTACATGGTAATCAGCTTTTTACAGATACATTTTCTTAAGAATTTGCTTTGAATACATATGAACACATGAAGCTGCCTTATACTGAATCAAAATCAGTATTGTCTACTCAGACCGGTAGCAGCTGTCCAGGGTCTCAGGTGGAGGTCTTTTATATCACCTCTTATCTGATCGTTTTAACTGAAGATAATTGGGGATTGAACCTAGGACCTTCTGCATGCCGAGCAGATGCTCGGCTAGTGAGCTACAACTCCCCCTTCCAAATCAAAGAAGTATTTGCAGCTGAATTATAATCAGAGACTGCTTAACTAAATAGATTTAAACTTTTGCATGAATGCTCAGTATAGCTTTAGTTTAAATATACCCTTATTAATATTTTGAATATTTAATATTTTGAATTGATTGAAACTAGTAAAACCCTGTGCCATAACTGTTTTTTTAATTACAGATATTGCATTTGAAAGCCTTACGGTTTATCAAACCGGTCAACATCCTAATCTTAATGAATCCTTAAGGAATTACTTCTCACAAGAGGTATTTTACCATCTGAGTCGTCATTTAGCCCAAGAAATGTACTATTTTCTGTTTGCTGTCTATGTAAGTCAGTATTGTGCAGGAGTTAGGCCAACAGAGTCTTCTTAAGCATCCACCTTTCCAGCAACTGAGGCCTTTTGGTTTGAGTCATCTCAGGTATAATACGTTTGATAAATATGGCACTGGTCTCCAGATATTCCACAAACCACGCAACTGGTAGTTTTATATTACAAAACTATGGAATATTTCTTAGCCTGCTCACTTGGGTGTGCGTAACGCTAATTTTGTTTTTATTAGCTTCTGTATGTGAGACGTTCAACATGAACAACCTATTTTAGTTGCCCTCCTAGAAATGTAATCAGGTGTTGAGGCCAGTGGTCTTGCTGTTCAGTTCACTCATTCAGTACCAAAGCTGTACAGAGCAGAGGCTGCTTCTAGCTTGCACCATTGCTTAGTTATTATCTATATTCTATGGCAGCAACCCAGTACCTATAACAATCCTAGTAAAGTAAATGGAAGTACTGAAGGCTTAGGGTTGTATCCTGTGACTCTATCGCCTTTCCTGCTAAAATATGTATACTTGCAATGGCAGCCTTTTCGACTGAGTTCAGAAAAACACATGTAGATCTATTGATGAATTTTGCCTATCAAATTCTTCAGTACAAGAGCTTATATTCAAGAAACAGATGAATCAGGCTGTGGCACCTTGCACCTTTAGTGTTTCTTGCCTGTCTGAGCATGGCACTTCTTTACACTGACTTCGTTAGATTGAGTATTGATCTCAATTCTTGTTGCTTTTATTCCACACACTGAATGGCTGTGTTGAGCTAGCCCCAGTTACATCATCTCAGTTTCCAGACTATTGTAATAGCAGCCTGCATTTTGTTTGATCAGCACCAGCTATAAACTTGACTCATTAGAACAGGGGTTCTCGAACTGTGTGGCAGGCCCCCTTGGTACATGTGGATGGCACAGGATCTTGATGCAAGCAGAGGCTTCATCTGTCAGTCAACAGCTGTCTGAGTTGAATGGCCCTTGGCAGAGGATGCCCAGTAATCCACACTAGATGTGTGTGTTAACTGCATCCTTATAGTCGTATCACTTCAAAAATTGTGATAGAGGTACTACCTACCAGATTTTAGGGAAGCATGTAAGACCTAGTTATTTTGATGGGATTTTTCTTGAGATGGATGGATTCCTGAACTGCTGAATTTCCCAATATGGGTGATTTTTGGATTTGTACTATTATGTTGTTGTTGTAAGTGGTTCAGTTTAGCTTTTGGGGGGATAACTGAGTGAATTATTTTGATGAGTTATGTCTATAGTGTTAAGCTTTGTTGTTAGCTTATCAGAAGGGCAGGAGATAATTTTTTAAAAAATAAATGTCAGCTGCCTAACGTTTTCATAAAAAAATAAATAAATGTCAGCTGCCTAACGTTTTCAAAAACATTTTTACAAATCTGCACATCCAATCAAATTCCCAGGGGCCAATCAGAAGCCTTGTTGTGCAGACACCCTACCTGGCTCTGCCCACGGTCTAAAAACACTTGGTGGGTGCTAGGAAAGGTATTGGTAGGCACCACATTGGGGACCCCTGGTGTAAGCAGCACTATATTCCGCTGGTACAGCTCTGTAATCTGCATGATGCTTGTTTAATTTCTGATTCTTCCTTTTGAATGTTATTTAAGATTAGCCTGATCTTTTCCAGCTGCCTTCTCTGGTGGTGGAAAATGCCATCAAGTCACAGCTGACTAATGGCGACCCCCCCCCGCCCCGTAGGGTTTTCAAGGCAAGAGACATTCAGAGGTGGTTTGCTGTTGCCTGCCTCTGCATCACGATCCTGGTATTCCTTGGAGGGCTCCCATCCAAACGCTAGCCAGAGCCGACCCTGCTTCGCTTCCAAGATCCTGCCAGATCAGGCTAGCCGGGGCTGTTCAGGTCAGGGCAGTTGCCTCCTCTAGGTGTAACTAAAAATCAGATTTCTGCAACACATTCTTGAGGAGAAAATGTAAATATGCTGTGAAATACTGGAACCTGTGGGATTTTATTTATTTATTATTATTTCAATTTATATCCTGCCTTGCTGGACAAGCTGGCTCAAGGCGTCGTACAGACGTTAAAATGCAATAAAACAATAAATACAGTGAAATTCACATAAACATCATAAAGTGCTAATAAGAACAATACAGGTGATGGCGGCATTCAGTATACAATCCAATGGTGGAAGGCAGTATCCAACGGTGTGTCATAAGGGCCGTGAGATGTTCCAGTGACACATTCGTCAGTGGCAGCTCCTAATCTAAAGTCTGGTGGAAGAGCTCCGTTTTACAGGCCCTGCGGAACTGTAAAAGGTCCCACAGGGCCCTGATGTCCTCCGGGAGCTCATTCCACCAGTGTGGAGCCGCCACTGAAAAGGCCCTAGCTCTCATAATGGCCAACCTGGCGACTTTTGGGCCAGGGAGAGTCAGGCGATTTTGCGACCCTGACCTCAGTGCTCTCTGGGGCACATATGGGGAAAGGTGGTCCCTCAGGTAGACAGGCCCCCAACCATATAGGGCTTTAAAGGTCAAAACCAGCACCTTGAAACAAATCCGGTAAGCTGTTGGCAGCCAATGCAATGCCTTCAGCACAGGCTGGATGTGGTCTTGTATAGAGAGGCCCATCGACAGCCCGGCTGCCGCATTTTGCACTAGCTGCAGCTTCCAGATTTGAAACGAGGGCAGCCCCATGTAGAGAGCATTGTAGTAGTCTAATCTTGAGGTGACCATAGCATGGATCACTGTTGCCAGGTCATTGCATTAGAGGAAGGGAACCAACTGCCTAATCAGCCGTAGATGGTAAAAGGCTGCCTTGGCAGTGGCTGCTACATGGGCCTCCATTGTTAAGGCGGCGTCCAGGAGCACTCCCAAGCTCCTAACCCTCGGCACTGGCACCAGTGGTGCCCCATCAAAGGTCGGTAGTGGGATCCCTACCCCCGACCTGCTCCAACTCAGGCATATAGGACCTCTGTCTTCATTGGATTCAATTTCAATCGGCTCAGTCTAAGCCAGCCCACCATGTCCTGAAGCGTCCACTCCAGGTCATCAGGGGTAGAGTCGAACTGACCACCCAACAACAGATATAGCTGGGTGTCATCCACATATTGGTGACACCCTAGCCTATGCCTCCAGGCAATCTGGGTGAGGGGGCACATGTAGATGCTGACAGCTAGATTCCATGTGGCCACTTGCACAGCTTAAAAGCCAAGCTAACTTTTAAACTGGAAAGCAGTGTGTCTCTTTAGGAATGCAGATGTCTGGTGAAAATCAAAGAAACCTCTGGCAGAATAGTTTATAAGAGATGCATCCAAATAGTAATACTGTACTTTAGTAGATGTTCTCTTTGTCTTTATATTTTTACATAGGGTGTCCCTGCAAGTGTTACATTCTTCAGTCCATCTGGTGTCAAATATTGTCTGAAGCAGATTCAGAAATTATCTGGTGATCTCATGCCCCACATTAAGGTAAAAGTCTGCAGCAGCTATTGGAAATAAAACAAAATGGTTCACAGAAGAATGATTCACATTTGACTTACTGGCCATCCTTGCATCATTAGCTTTTTGTCTTCATTTAACTGGGATGTAGTACAGGTAGCAACTGTTAATTACCTTAGAACCCTCTGTAGAAGATATAATAGTTTGCCCATTTTTCTTAGAGACCTTAACTCATTTAGTATGTCTGATTCATATGCATCTGTGGGCATTTCAGTTTGTTGCATGACATTAATCACACAATTGAGGATGCTATGTTAATTACACCTGAAACTGTTCTTCAGATATTAATCATTTTTGTTATTTTTATTTTATTGGACATGTTTCCCAACCTCCCTGTAAGCAGGCTCCATCAATATTAATACAATATACAAATCAATTAAAAACCACTTTAAAACAGCACAAAATCATACAATACTGTGTAAAATCTGATCAGATGTCTCAGCAATTAAGATAGAACAGGAGTGTGGGTTCCCAGATGGCTATTTTAATCCAGGCCACTGATGGGAGGCCAACCAGAAGGGGGGAATGTCCACTGCCTCAACTAAAAGCTCGGTGGAAGAGCTCTGTCTTACAGACCCTGTTGAACTCTTGAACATTAACAGTTAGTAAGGTTCACAACACCGCTATTTGAGTTCCACAGAGTTAGTATGAATTGAAAATAGCTTTGAATGAAGATTGTTGTTGTTTGTGAGATACCTAACTGAAAAACCCTAATGTTTGCCTTGTGATCAAGATAAAGGTACTTCTGTTTGCGGTAGGGCTTAGCTTCTCCATTTTGTATTTTTGCAGTTCTGTTCCTAGATTGTCACATGTTGGCTATTTAGCTAATAAGAAAAACATATTTAATCTGCAGAGAATATAAGTAGCAAAGAAAACCATTAAATTGCCCTTTTTTGTTTCCGAGTATCAGGAGCCACTTCTAGGCCAATACTGTTTCTTGAATTTGTTGTTAGTATTACTGTTGGTAGAATCTGAACTGTTATCTACAGAGCCTGAGAAGCATGTCTCATGTGGTACTAAGACTTTTCAGCTGTCCAAGCTGAATTTAGCAGCAGTCATGTAAACTTTACTTAATGTGTCTTTTCAATTTTGGCTCTTAGTAGCATGAAAGTGACCTTGGAATATTAATTTGAACATTTCTGAATAGGCCGTAAAATTGATCTTTTGCAAGGAAGACTTTTATCAGGTGGTAGACTAATATAGCAATAGCTAATTGTATCTGTCTATCCTGAATAATGAGGCTATCATTTCAGTTTGCAGCCATAGGTCCAACAACAGCTGAAGCTATGGCCACTGAAGGAATTGTTGTGAGCTGCACTGCCATCAACCCTACTCCACAACATCTCACTGCTGGTATTAAAAAGAGTCTCCACTTGTAGAACTGCTGTTCACTCAAGTTGATCTATTTTAAGGCCATGGCTTGGATCCCACCTAGATTTTCGCCAATTCCCCCATCCTCTGATTTTCCCTGAAAGGTATTCTTGGGGGTTGCCATGTCATGGAAGCAGCATTTCGGGGGTGCTTTGGGCTGCCTTGGGAGAGCGGAATTGTCAAAAATCACACCCCACCACTGCCCTTGTACATGCAGAAATTCCAGGTGGGATCCAAGCCCACATGTTTAGTAGGAGTAAGATCTCTAAAATGAAATACATGGCTTGTCAATGTGGAATGTAAAATTCTTTTTAAATGCACGTTATATTCAGATTTAGCTTTATATTGTATAAAACAATGGTGGGAAATACAGATTACAGTTAAAGTTGTTAAAACTGTCCAATCCATTTAGCACCTTGTTATGTATGTTACACCCTAATAAATGTGAAGAAGTTAGCATCTCTGAGTAGGTTTTAGAGAAAGAAGTAATTATGTTAGGTGCTCTGTTGTCTTCTAATTAAAAATTGTATTTAATATAAGTAATGTTCCGTAGTCCAGCTGGCATTTTTCTTGCATCTGTGGGTTGCAAAATTTCAAAAATACAGACTTTTAAAAATCACCTATCTAATCTTTAGGTAGTCTGTACCTGGCCCTTTGAGGAATATTTTTGCATTGTTTGCATACCTCATGGATACACTAATACTGTTTTCACAGTTGCTATTATGAAGCAGTAGCAAGCTGCCATGGTGCTGAAAACTACTTGTCAATTTGACTGTTAAAATGCCACTTCGGATTAATTTGTATTTTCTCTGACAAAGATTCCAGCTAACTCAATAAACAAAACAAAATACCGTGCTCTAGCTTCAAATTTGTATTTTTAAACCTTCATGGGTCAGAAAACTCAGATTATGAATAGAGCCTCAATAAAATAGTTCTATAATGTACTTGTAGTTTTGTCTGTACCCTGGAAAAAGCAGTTAAGTAACAAATTGTAGAGAAAATAACTGATGACATGGTCATACTGACTAGTACCACCAGCAGGGGCGTCTTGGTAATCTTGGTTTGTGCTGAACGCTTTATGACCACTAAATTAGCACATGCAGATTCAGTCTGGGCCGAAACAAGACCAATACAACAGTTATGTATTTAGCCCCCACCTGTAACTGAGTGGATGAATAAATTGAAGCTTAATCCAGACAAGGCAGAGTTGGTGGATGTTGCTTGTTCTAGTTGGAGAGCTGACATTCTCTGAAAGACACTGTTTGGAGCACTTCTGGAAGCTCAGTTATTGTGACCAGGAATGCTTATTATCAACTTCTGCAGATTTGCCAGTTCCACTGAAACGGAAAGATGAGATGACTGTCACCCAGTCTTGGATTTTCTTCCAGACTAAACTGCACATACTAGGCGGTGCTACCCTTGAAGGCTGTCAGGGAATTTCAGTGGAGCCTAAATACTGCTTTTTGACAGGTGTAAGAAGGGAGAAGCAAAATTTCACTAGTCCTAATGTCATTGGCTAGACTTTTAAGCTATAAAATCCTGACCTAGATAGCCCAGGCTAGCCTGATCTCCTCGGGCCTTGGAAGCTAAGGAGGGTTGGCCCTGGCTAGTATTTGGATGGGAGACCACCAAGGATGTCCAGGGTTGTTACGCAGAGGAAGGCAGTGGCAAACCACCTCTGACCTTCTCTTGCCTTGAAAACCCCACGGGGCCACCATAAGTAGACAGCAACTTAATGGCACTTTGTACACAACCTTAAAACCCTAAACTGTCCAGAGTCAGCTTACTTATTAACATTTACCAGTGAGCCCCTGTGCTCTAGATACTGTCATCCACCAGTACCTTTTTGTTGTTACTACAACTCTGGGAACTTCCTACCTGATTCTTACCTGGGGGGGGGGGGGGGGAGAAAGGCATCTCTGCTGTCAGATTTTATTTAAAGGCAACTAAGTTATGACACTATTAAAGTCATGATGGGGGGGCCGCCTGCCTATTTGTTATGCACCAAACTGCCCCCCCCATCATGTTTTTTCCAGTTTAGGACTAATGAAGTTGCATTTATGGAAAAGGCAGGAGAACTGCTATAAGAGTTTTGAAAATCCCCTTGGTTTAGATTGAGAATTCAACAGACACTATTTTTTTGACTAGCACAATTCATTTTTGTCTTGTTGTGCTGTTGCCCATAACATAGACCCAAAATTATTTTGCATATTCAAATGGAATTAAGAGAATGTGTGCTCAGTATAAACCAAGCAGAGCTGGTTACTGAGAATTTAACTGATTTGGCTATCCTTAAATGGCCGCCCTGAAAAATCCCCCCCAAAATCAGGATTTTTTCGGACTCCCAGATATCCACAGTTAAAGGGCACTCACAGCTTGCAAAAGGCATTTAAAGGGACTGTGATCCCTTTAAATGCCTCCCTCCATTGGAAACTTCCTCTTTTGGGCAGTCCAGTCTAAACCAGGGTGCCCACCAGAGCCTGTGGGGAGAAGCCTTGGCTGAAGCTAGCTCCTCTTTGCAACTCAGTTTTGACTGAGCTGCAAGGAGCCAGCCCAGGATCAGCCAGGGCAGTGCGAAGCTCTCAGCTCCCACCCACTAGTTGAGCCTCTTAGGTTTTTTTCCTTCTTGGGTCCATTGGACCCCCCAAAATTCAGGAATCCCAAATATTTTCCAAATACCATACCGGAATTGGGATTTGGGAATATCGGGAAATACTGATATTTTTCGGGTTCAGTATACCCAAACCTGAAAAATACCAGTGGAGGGGTTTTGCACACCCCTAAAGAGAATTTCTTACAGATAGTGAGAACAAGACAAAAACTGCATCAGTTCCATCTTACTACATAGCATGTGGCCAATGAATAGCATCAAGACAATGTATCAGTATCACCTCCTAATTTACTCAGACAGGAGGCAGAATGTCTGACTATCTCAGTACAGAGCAAAAGAAAAGGTACATTACACTGGTTATTTAGTGCACTGGCTTGGGTACTGACAGTTCCTGCTGTGTAATTTCTCCCTGATGCCAAAGTGCATTAAGTGTGAGGCTAGAGGGAGAGAATTGCTGCTTATAAAATGTGAGAGACAGGGTTTATAGGCACTAAAGCAATTCAGCTGTTTTGCAGTCACTGGTCAGCATAACTGTAAGATCCACACTGCTGGAGTCAGACCTTGTAGAATGAAGTCAATCCCTGTAGCTCAGTGGTTACAAGTGTGTTTGATTTCTTTTCTTTTTTCTTTTTAAAAATCCTTCGGTCAACAAAGCCTTTACATTCTCTTCAGATGGAAGCCCCAGAGCAGTAAGCTGCAGCCTTGATTCTACAACAGGGAGTATGAGGAAGGAACAGATGCACACCTGTCAGTTCTCCCCTTAGCAAGAAATGGAATGTCTGTTCACCAAACTCTTCTGAACAATTTTAATCAGTCAGGCATTAATGTAAGCTTCCCCATGGACCAAATTCTCTTGACAGAAAGTTAGCTTACATATGAGTTAAAGTATAGTTTTCAAAAACTGAACTACAAAATACCAGTTATTTTCCTTACTGAAGGGATGTACAGTGTTAAGTATCAAAATGAGAACAAAAGGAATCTTAATATTGCTATTAGCACACTGCTACATAGATTTAAGTATTACAACTGCTTTTCTCATCGGTTAAGCTGAGCAAGGGGACAAAATACAGGCAGTGGAAAAAACACAGTCTACACAGGAAATGAACCTGTCCCATCTCCTTGTAAAGTGCAAAAAGTCAATAGCTACCCAACACATCCATTGATGGAAACTGACTGTATTACTGGTTATGCCGTGATGCTCATTTGGTCCCTAAACCATAGCAATTGTACTTTCAGGGTATATATATATCTCTTTATAGAAAAACAGCCATGACACAAATCTTTCCACAGTAATTGTCTCATGCTTGTATGCAATCAATATATTCCTGTTTTGTCTGGCCAAGCAAAAGGACAGCAATAAAAGCAGGGACACAGGAAGTTTAATATATATGACTGGTGACATTACAATATGTTCGAGTCATGACTAGATCTCACTGGAAGAATGAGAAAAGCATCACAGGGTACAGCTTTGTGGTTGAAAATTTCTTAAAACTGCATAAACTACCATAGAAATTACAATTAACTGGCACCTTTTAAAAAATCCACTACGCTTTATACAAATGAAAGCGGGATCTGGATAAGGACTTCACAAGTCACAAGTGTAGTCACTGACACAATAGCAATACCCATTGCAGTTACTGTATAAGGTTCAGCCATGTAGATATACGTACAATGCTGTATTTTATTGAGTTGGCATGAATCCAAACCTGATTTGAGAACTGTCAGTTGGTGGCTTGAAGTCATGCATTGATTATCAGGGTCTGTTGGACCATGGACAGACATCATATTGCTATAAATTTAAATTTGTGAAAGACACATACCATACACTGACAGGCGTACTAGTCACACACAGGAGAGAAAAAAATAGACACAGCAATTACCAATAAATGTTTAGTGGAACGTGTGTTACTGGCTTATGTCCTCAAATGTATTTGTACACTTGGGTTTTGGAGCAGGAACATGACACACCACTAACAAAATGCTTATATATATATATTTTAATAAATTTCTTCAAAATACAACTTTATTCACAGTTTCATTTCTGGAAAAGGTAGTGATAAGATAGAAAGGAGGCCATTTTATGTTCTAGGATAATGTCTGAATTAAGTATTACGCTGAAGTGAAAAGGCACATTTTGGAGGAATATGGTAGGTGCTGTAATTGTTTGCATATATAAATAGAATTGATAGTTTTAAATTAAAACTACTGGTAGATATCTTCCATGGAAGTTTTGCATACCAAAATGTTTACAAAAACAGCAAAATGGAGTCTAACAGATGAGCGTTAACAAAACCATCCTATGCAACACTACCAAATTCACTACAGTTTTAAGTAAAACAAACTGTACATTTTTACATCTATATTCAATGTTTAACACTTTAAATATAAAAACACAGTATGAAACAAATACCCAAATCATTAAAGTCAAGACTCACAGTAAACTTCTGGTTTTCCAGCTGTGCCATCATTTAAATATGAAATATAAATTAAAAAACAAAATCCCTCCTGGAGCAAGGCACTGATTCAACTCCTTTGACATACCACTGTTCAGTTTTAGGTCACTGAATGCCCAGATTTTTGCCTTCGCTTCCCTGGGTTAACTGTTCCAGTAAGTTTAAAATAACTTCTATTCTTTCAAGCAGAGTCAGGTTTTTGTTAGCTACTGATCGCAAGAGAAGTGAATAAACATACTTATTGGTCTTCAGAATGTCTTCCTCTTCAATGTTACCTCTGGAGAGGGGGAAAAAGAAAGATGAGCTGATTGTCCAAAAAAGCACATGACCTCTGCAAATTACAACAGACATTTTATACGTCCGCTTGTCACTCAAGTACAAAAGTATGCCTTTTCCAATCCCCACCTGAAGAAAAGTGGTTTGAAAAATGGGGGAGACAAAGGGGAAATGAACGCCAATCCTTCTTTAAATTGCAGCAGAACCACAATTCAGCTCCCATTGCAGGAGAACCCAGAAATAACCGACTTTATAGAAGGAGGTTGCCTGGCTTGCAACTTCTCAACATTTTGTGATTGGTCCAGTATCCCACAGAATTCGTTTTTCATACTGGCTCCAGCCTCTCATGGCAGCCATTCTGTGGCAGTCCCCATTTCCTGTTCTCAAAATTGTAAAAGTGCCCACAGGCTCAATAAGATTGGGATCCCTACCATAACCAATACAAATGTGGACCATCTTCTCTGCTTCTCTGCCAATTCATTTTAGTAGCATCTGTCACAAAAGTAATTTGCCAGAGGGACTCAAGTATATAGAATAGTCTCCCTTCTGCTAAGTGAGGAGCCTTGCTCCAGTGAAAGAGTGCTTACATAGATCCTAAAACTTTCACTAGCTCTGTATTTTTATTAATTTCAATTCATACCAATTTATAATTACACAAAAAAATAAAGTATAATTTTCAATTAATACTGTTTTCTGGAGAATAACATTTGCTTATAATTTCTAGATTTCACCCATCAGAGTTCTTGGATTTCCCTTTAGATATTACAGCATTTCACGAACTTTGATCCTGGAGGGGAGGGGCTTGTCCTCTGTATCCCCAGTCTTAGTGGCCCTGCCTCTGCAGCAGGACGTCTGGCGGTGTTCTTGGGAGCACGAAGATCCTGGCAACTTATAGAAAGAAGAAAGTGAGTTGTTTGGGAGGCGGGGGAAATCGTTAGCTGCCCCCCCTCTCAGGAACATTCGTAAGGACAGGAATGCGGCTGCAGGCCTCTGAGTAGGCAAGGCAGCTGGGCACTGGCCTTCATCTCCACATGCTTCGCTGGACTGCCGAGGGCCCCTCCCCCACCTCCCCCCTTTTTGTTCCAAAGCCAGGGAAGACGGGGGAGGGGGGAGACGCGGAGGCCAATAAGTTTGTGGGTGGCGCGGCTGTGTGCAGCACGATCCCATACTTCACAGGAGCCAAATCCTTTTGCCGGTAAGTTTGCGGGGGTGGCGTGGCTGTGTGCAGCGCGATCCCGTATTTCACAGGAGCCAAATCCTTTTCCCGGTGGTGACTGGGACGGCTCCACAGCAAGCGTCCTTTTTTCATCTTACAGCCTCTGAATCATGATAGGGGTGTGTTTTGGCGAGGGGGGAGCCGGGCCGTGAGGGCTGGATCCGGTGGACTGGCCTGGCTCAGTATGGCAAATAAAGGCTCCTGGACCCCCCCTCCCCCTTTTCTTTTGCCTGCGGTAGTCTGATCTTGGGGGGGGGGAGATCTTGTTTTTTCTCCCTGGAGTTTGAAGGGGAAAATAGGTGGCAAGATAGAGGTGGCATTTTGACCTCTAAGGGCTATATAGTTCCTAGAGGATTATTGATCGGATCTCTCTTGGAGAGCTGATGGGATGTATGTTCTATTTATCCTTCCTTGGTGCTTACACAAGATAAGCTGGAAAAGGCGGGAATGACGGCCATTTTAACTTCTTAGGAGTGATAGGCTGTTGCTTTCACTTTCAGGTTCACTTAAAATGGCGGACAAAGCTGGTCCTTCAAGCTCCCTTCCAGTAGATGCTATTGAAGGCACCCAAATCTTTAATAGGCACCCAAACCCTTAGTAAAGAGCCGCTGGGTCTGGAATTTTCGAGGGAGGAGGCCCAGTCTCACCTTCGGTTGTGGCTGAAGGAGGAATTACAGAAGGAAGCTAAAGTTTTGAGGCAGCAGATGTCTATCTCTCAACCAAGCAGGGGCAAGCGGTGCAGGAGTCCCTCCCCAGACAGCCCCCTTTCTAGAAAGAAGGTTCCTTTTGAGGGGGTCGATCATAGTCCTTTACTTAGTGACATGGGAGAAGAGTCAGGTTCTGAGTCTCCTGTATCCGATAAGGAAGAGGGGCAATTGTCTGAGGAA